CGCGGACTCGTTTACGTCGGCCGATGGGAGGTAGAGGGGCTTAGGGACGTTCATGTTTCTTTTTGGGTTTTTGGATTTTGGTTAGATTGTGTAGAATGCTTGGCTCGTTCTTGTTTTTTGAGTTCTCCTCCCACCCCGTTTGTATTATGATGAAGATAACTTATCGGAACTACCTCGATCGTATTTATGGCTCACTTTGTAGCTTGTGTACTAAATCTTGGTTGATGCCTGAGGTTAAAATTTTTTCCCGGTATGTAGCGGTTAATGTTATTATGATAGCATACATGGAAAATTTAGAATCCTCGTTTTCTTATTAGATTTATAGATTCTCAAAATACCGGATAGATGCATTAAATGTGATTCGAGAAACTGGCGCTTACCTGTTTCAACCAGATACGTCCGTCAAAATTCACTCGCAAACAAACAGAAAATGGTGGCTCGATTTTGAGGAACTTGGATCCTCTTCACTACAAAAAAAAAATAGTGGAGAGGCCACTACTTTTAATCTCAATCGTTGATTACTTAGTAGGCGGTTATGATATAATCTAAATCTAACATTCACCATAGCTCCGTGTATCACACTCATTCCTAAGTTGGATTCAAAGAAAAAATCATAATCATCAACTAGATAATTAATAGTTGTGATTATGTAGTGGTCTCTCCCCTACTTTTTAAACAGTGGAGAAGATCCGAATCCGATTTTGAGTTCAGAGCCCAATTTATTTTGCTTTTAACTGAATAATAGTAAAGCGAAGCCTACCCCTCAGCCTTGCCTGCCCTTTTCAGGATCTCTTTTTTACACGAAACCATATAAGGGGTAATAAAAAAAAGCCCCTTTTGAGAACCTCGACTCATGACCCAAGCATGAAGGAGGAAATGAAAATGGGCCCTTCGCACGCGTAATTGAAGGCCGTTAAAGCCGCGGGGACGAGTTTGGAAAATATTGACGAGAATCAGTTCGGAGTGGGGGGAAAATAAATTTAAAAAAAAAAAGAAAAAGAAAAAAAAAAGGAGACGTGGAAGTCCGCGTACAGCTATATACAGAAGGAAAGCATGGGGCTGACGTGTACGCGAGAGAGTAGGATTTATGGGTAGGAGATATTTATCAAGGGGAAACGGATAAGAACGGTGAGCCTAGGATTCATAGTAGTGCACGTTTCGGCTTCTGTTTGCTTACGTGGAATTCTAAAGATTCTGCAAAAAAGCCGAGCGAGTGACAAGGATTCTGACAGAATCAGGATTCTACAAAAAATTCGTTTTCCCTTCGTCTTCATGAAAAAGTTTGACCAGAGCAGTGGATGAAATTTATTGTCACGTCAGCATGTTTCGGTAGTAAAAAGTAATCTTAAAACAAGAAACAAATCTGAAGTTTAAAATTTTAAAAAAATCATAATTTTTTCTGGAATCCCAAATACCTTACAATTTTTTTCACAATCTAGGCGACAATTAATGAAGAAAATTTAAAAGATCAAAAGATTAGAACCCCACAGAAACATACTTGTACGAATCCAGCTATGGGCTGTTTCCTATGGAAAGCTCGCAATGATCGCATCTTCTCAAACTCCATCACCACTTCTCATTAAATTTTCTCCAAGGCAGCTTACTTTATTCTTTTATGGGCATGTGTTTCTTCTTCCAAGAAGGCTATCAAGCTTAAGAACATCATTCGTTCCTCAGGGCTTGCGGATATCATTGAATCAAGCGAGGATAGCAGCGGAAATCCTTGAGTTGCGGTTCTAGCTCTTTCGATACTTTGGTTTTTACATCATGTTAGTAGTTGTATATATCCTCTAGACATCTACTAGTGATTGATATTTTACTCCATCTCAAAGTTGTCGCTCCGATCACCAGTAGATATCTACTTTTGTAATCCTCTCTCTTTTACACTTATATATTTATCTATGATAGGGCTCGTTGCCCTATTTTACATCAAAAAAAAAAAAAAAAACTATGGACTGTTTCGTTAAACTCTTATTAATGAAATACGAGGGTAGCTTCCCACTATATTAAAAAACAACTATGAAATAACAACTTAGGGCCACCCACCTATGAACAATAGCATGTTTTGTGTCGGTTCTCAAAAGACAAAAAGTTAAGACTTGCTCACAAGTCACAATATTCATCAAAAATCTCAGGTGGCTGATCTAACATGATAACGGTCAGGCAGCTCACGCTCAATCACATAAGTAACGAAGCAGAGTTTAACATCAAATTAATAGAGACTCACGAGGACACATCAGCCTCCGCATATTGAAAATAATGGTGTTCATGATCTAGACTACACCTAGCTAGCTAGTATTTGCGCATAATTCACAATCGTGCCTATAATCAATCAGGCTTTCTATAAAAGAAAAGAAAATTTCAAAAGAAAGCCTAGGTTATCATGTTGTCTCACACTATAAATTAGTTCTAGAACATGTAATTTTTTTGAAAATAATACTGGAACTGAAGTTTATTTCAGCCAATTTGACCATGTGGTGATGGTCACTAGGGCTTGGAGTACTATAAAAATTAATGTTTTTATTACAGATAAATTCCATAAACTTTCAAATTCATAGAAATATCATAAACTTTTGAAAAAAGTATACATGCAGCAGACAAATGGCAGTGAGAGTTATCCAACAATATTACCAATAAATTAACATGGTAGTTAATGTTGGATTTAATCTAATAAATCTATTTGTGAGCACATATGATTAATCAATGTGTATTGCTATCTTTCAGGATAATCCACTAAAGTGATCAATTAATTTGGGTTAATGGGTATTTAAATAAATCATGGGGTTATATGTGCAGATACCAGGTTGTAATTATGATTTGTTGAAGGGCCAAATTGTAAATTTATAATATCTATAAATAAGGGGTTATGGTCCATAATCTAGGGTTACTTTCTCTAATTTTCTTCACCCCAATCTAGAGAGAAATTCGGCTATAGAGAAAACCCTAAGGTTAGAAGATCCAAAACCCATCTCTGGTTTCATCTATGGATTCAGGTATAAGCTTCCACTCTTTTGATTCTTGTTAATCTCTTCGAATTAATCATGGCTTTATGGTTTAGATCTTAAGTTTTTTATTAGATCTAACAGTTAAGTGACTTTATCCAAACATCCATGATAGTTGTCTAAAACATTAAAAAAAATCATGGTATATAATTCACGAGATAATTTTGAAAATTTGCGATATTTTTCTCTACAGTTTAATGTTGGTGATGTTTTTCACTGATGAAAATAGTTTACGATAAAATTTACCTTAGACTTTTGTTATTTCTCAAGATGTTTTTCCTTGCCAAATAGAAAAACACTCAACTTATACAATAATTAGCTGGCTGAAATACCTTTGTGGTATTCCATCCTTTTTCTAAAAAAAAAACTTATACAATAATTACTCGCAAGAGCTTCATTAATGCATGAGAGAGAGATAGAGTGTGTGTGAATGTGTGAATATATATAATATGACCAAAAATTGCCATATATCAACAAGTGAACTTCTTTCACGAAATAAAAATAAAAATTAATGAAGAAGAAACCTAACAAAAATTATAGGAGATGGTACGTCATGTCGATCGAAATTAGTTCTTTTCAACTGCTGGTTTTCCATCCAAAAGAAAACCATTAACAAATAAATATGGAGGAAAAAAAAATGCAAAGACATAATAAGAAGAGTTAATTGCAGATACATTCCTTTATATGTATTACTATGCTAGTATAATTCACACCCTTCAAAGTAATTTGTTGGTACTGACAGTCTCTGAATCTTGGAGAGAGTTACTTTTTGTACTTCATTAATTTAGAGTATAATTTAGTCCTTGTTTAAAATTAAATGAAAACTAAGTACTAATACAGTCACATGAAAAATCTAGCGTGACATCTCAACATAACGAAAGAAGTAATGTCATCTGAAGTTCAATTAGTGTAACAAAAGTTTTATCAAAGGCAGATTAAGGAGAAGGCTTAAAGTAGTTAATCCAAAATAAAAATTAATCTAGCTAATTGGTTAGGTAAGATTTATTTCTATTTTATGCTCTTTTAGTGTTTCAAAATAGAAAAGATTAGTTAGCCGTTGATATAAGTAGTTAACGTTGATTAAATAGGTGGTGGGCCAGAATTTGTGCTGCTCAAATGATGGTGGACCCCAATTTAGCATTTTACGCATTATATCTTAATTTTATAATATTTGCTTGTTTAAAAAATAATCTTATTTCCAGACAATAATTTTAATTAGTTGTGGATAGACTTCCTGTACTATAGCCAAACTACGGATATACTCGTATACTTCTATTGTTGCAAATGGAGAATCTGAACTCTCGGCCCCTTAGCTTTATATGAAGATTGAGCACACAGGAAAAAAAAGAAACAAACAAAGAAAGAAAAGCCCATATAACTTCCTGTGTGTATGATTGAGTCAGAAAGGAGAATGTACTTGTGAATTGTGATACCCCAAACTTAGTGTCACGTCGGATATTGATTGAGAGATTAAATATTTTATAATGTAAATCTAAGGGGTCAAGTACAAAATTGACTAGTCAATTTTGATAATGTATCGAGTGAAATCACCTGTTGCACTCAATACATATCCCAATGCTTACATCGCATTAAAGTGTTAGTGGGGCAGGAGCATGACAGTGTTTACATCCCTTTCTTTATTCATCACCGGTTCTTTATATATATATATACACGAAGAAAAATTCCTCAAGGACCCAAAATATGAGACCAATAGAGGGGACAAGTGAGGTGTCCACCTTCTATTAGATAATGAGTTGGTCATCATTAATGATGACCAACTCATTATCCAATAGGAGGGGGACACCTCACTTGTCCCTCCTATTGATCCCATATTTTAGGTCCCTGTAGCAAAACAACATGAAAAATTTTTAATTCCTCTTTTGTTAAGATAGACCAACGCCAAAACTCATGAAGAAGTTTGAATAATGAAATGAGAATTAATCAATGAGTCCTATAGTCGTTCTCCTATCATGTGCCTTGAGTTCTGTAGTCGACATATTTTTGATGGTCCAACACGAACCATGATAATGAAAAGTATATATTTCTACTCAAGAATTTCGAATAAAGTTAGTTCCTCTAATGGAACGTAATTTTTGAATAACAAAAAAATTAATCATAATCACATTAATTACCAAAAGAAAGGATTGAACAAATCAGGACTGAACAGCTGCAAACTTTTTTCATCTCTCATTTTCTCACCCACTTCTCTGTTCCAAATTAGCTTAACTGAATCTTCAAGCTCAACCTCCCAACTTCTATCATCATCTTCAACCTCAATCAATGGCTTCACCACTTCTTCTTCTTCAAATTTCTCCCACTCAAAAGAAACCACAACCTGCATATCTCTCCCTCTCTCTTCAACCATCGTCTCCGACGAAGCCTCGTCCTCGTCCTCCGTCGTCCGCCACATTTGCTCGACGAAAGCCTCGAGCATAACGACCTGAATCGCAGGTATCTTCTCGACAAAAGGATACTCGTATGGCGCGCAATACCCCATCTCTCTACACCACTGATAAAACTCGCCAAGCCTGACTGCTTGCTCGGACGCCTTCTTATATACCCCGAGCCCTTCCACACAACTCCGGTAGGACATCTGCAGAATTCCGTCGAGCACCATCGACAGATTCTGCTGCATTGCGAGGTACGATACCACGCTCTCTCGAACCGCCGCATCACCGAGCGCACAACGGGGCTTCGTGCCGCGGCGCCCCTCGGCACGCAGTCCATGGCACTGTCAATCAGGCCCTGCAGAGAGGGGGTGCAAATGGGTCAGACACGGATCGGAGTACCATGTTTGCATTCACTTACCAAATGAGTCGAGATGGATTTAGTGCTAACTCAAGCTATGCATGAGGGTGAGCCGACGAAAAGGTATACATGAGGTGGTTACGCGCAAGTAACCCAATTTAAAATATACATGTCATATTATGCCATATTATGCAAGAAAATTCATTAATATGTTCCTGTTGGAACAATTGAAACCGTATGACAGATATATGTAGTATCCGTATCCGTATCTTAGCGGATATGAATATTTTTTCGCGCCCTACCTGCAGATGTTGCGCTTGCTGCAGCGGCTTGGACATTAAAAGTAGATGACGGTTCACAACTCCTTCGAGCAAGCGAGAGTACGAAAGAAAGAACGACAACCGGTCAAAAGTAGATGACGGTTCACAACTCCTTCGAGCAAGCGAGAGTACGAAAGAAAGAACGACAACCGGTCGCCGTGCATTTTGCGAAGATGGAAAGGGCAGAGCGACAGAAGAGAATTTTCGCGGGCAGAGAGGATGTCAGAGCGGAAGGGGTGGTTTAAGGGGAGGGTTTGAAGGAGGTGGTGGAGGAGGAGGAGGCATTTGAGGGCGACGGTCTGGGATTTCGTGCGTCCGAGTCGGCGGTGCATTTTGGCGATCAGAGAGGAGACAAGATCCATGCTTAGCGTTTCGAGTTGCTGTGAGATTTAACGGACTGAATACCATCAGCTCATGGAAAAGATCGAAGGGTGCTAAGAGCTAGCGGAACTCGGTTGTTACTATGGATCTAATATCGAAGCGTCGAGCGTTGGATCTTTGCTTCCTACGAACATTGTAAATGACAATTCCTCGGCTGCGTCAACATTTTCTATTGTCTTACCACATGCAAATGCAACCACACGATTCCTTTGTGAATCATTAAATTAACCTTAATCGTACGTACTATGCAAATTCCAAACAGAGTAGCTGCTTCAACAAAAAAAAATGAGTGCAGGATGTAACTGATGCCTTCATGGACCCTTGTCAACATGAGCTGATTTTCATAAGAGATAATTTCTGGAAATAAGTTTCTGATATATACTACTTGTATTTATACTATTTGGCAGTTGTTGATTGTCATAAAGAAAGAAAAATATAGAACGAAATAGTAAAGATAATTCTCAGCACTGTGCTTTGAAGAAAAGCAACAAGGAAACATCTGGGTAATAGATAATATCATAATAATATTAATATGATCATCCTTAAAAGAAGAAAATTGAAGTATTGCACGAATAGTGAGTCCTGGTTTACATGATATCGAATTTTTTACAACGATTAAAGGTCAGAGCATCACTCACAGTGATGATAGAAGACATTGGATCAGCACGGTTGTTCCTTCTTCGGATGGTTAAAGTTCAGGTAGAGTATCTGAGAGCTTCATATCATGCGGTGGCTTAGCACTAGCTGCTGACTGAGAATCTTCTGATTTTCGAAGCGACTGCAAAATCAAAAGTTAGGAATCAAATAATGGAAGTGTTCTTTCATAACTTGCGAAACATGGATCGAGAGAGAGAGAAAAGTAAATCAGGAACATCAACAAGAACTTTTCCACCTTTCCTTAAAAAAAGACATTAACAAGAACTCTAAAGAGAAAAACTAAATTCATGCACGAGCCGCAGACAAAAGATAAGTATGATTCTTACTGGAATATTATGCAGAAGCAAACTAGGAGGCACAGGTGGCAGCCTTTGCTTCTTAGGATCCAGCGGAACATCCCGGGCATCTATATTCTTCTATAGTAAGCTGAAAATAAAAAGATCACCCAGTTGTTACAAATTTCCACCATGAAACGATATCGCTTAAGGAAGTTCTAAGATAATAACATAACGTGTATAATTTCTGGTTAAAATGACATATAATTAGTCCAGCCAAACCAATAAATAATGAATACAATATGTTAATCATAGTGAGAAGGTACAGGAATATGGAAGTAAATATTTCTTTTCCTTCTTAAGAAGGGATAGGAACATTAAATCAAATCTCACAAAGAGCGCGAAGACACCATGATAAGATTTTATTGCCAACTATGTTGGAACATATAAATTATAAAGCATAAAGAATTGGTCAAATAAGCATGAAAACAGTTACCTGCTCCTCCCAAACTTTGGTGCTTCAAGAAGATCCTCTAAAAATGTATTGACATCCAAACCTGTTTTCGCCTAGATCAGTACAGGAAGAAGTCAGCCAAACACTCTTTATAATCTGAAAATATGGAAAGAATATCTTTTGCATAAGACGTTCAATGAAGTAGTACATCAAAATCCAGCATCTTTAGATTCAAAATGATGATATGTTACATTCAGGATGTATACCTACTGGAAACATGCTTAGCAGAAGAAAATATCAGCGACAAGAAGAATTTGTTTCATCTACCTCAAAAATCAAGCATGTACTCTCTTTATCATCGTGGTGTTTAAGAGTCCAGAAGTTATGAAGGAGAAAACATTGATTGGATATAGCTAGGAATATGGACTAGCAGAAAAAAGTGCAGTTCTGCAATTTCTATCTCAATGCCAAGTGAATCGGAACAAGTAACATTCTGTTCCACCAACTAGCAGTCAACCCTAAACCGGTCCTAATTAAAACTTCTAGAACACTTAGTGGATCTTAAAGGCAGTTGGCTTGACTCAGAATTAGAATGTTTGCTTTCTAAAGAAGCTATAGTAGAATGAGAATGTCTAAGGAAGTTAAGCAAAATGAGCATCTCAGACACACTGGAAAAAATACTATAATAATGGAACTCCAAAATAAATAAGCAAAAGAGAGCTCAAAATGGGGCTACAAGGATCAATTAAACACTTGTGATAATCTACGGAGAATTGGGAAAAGGAGATTGAGAGAAGGATAAACTACAACAATTGAGAAAACTAAAGAAAGCTTGAGTCTGATGTTTTAAGCTGTAATTTTAGTTAGTCAGCCTTTTATACAGGTTTTAAAATATAAAATCCCATTTTTCCTTCTTTTTACCCCTCACCTATTGTGATAGATTAAACCAGGTGAGTGTTAATCTGGTGGAGAGAGAAGGCGTTAGAGATTGGACATGTTACAATGAAGAGGAGAAAGCTCAGAACAATCACATATTAGACATTGGTCCTGACTAATTTTTGGGTTCATATGTGGTGTCTATATTTATGTTTCACTGTCAAGTTTCTTTCGTCCTGGAAACTGAGCTTGGAACCATTCAATAGGCGAATTCTCTCTACAGGCAGCGTGTCTCTTTGTTATATAAGGAATTTCACTGCAGCAGCTGAAAAAGATAATTGGCTTTTCTATTAGATAGACGATCCCAAATCCCAAAATTTTGATATAAAGGCTTTATGATCGCTGTTGTTATTTTTCTATTACTTTTTTTTGGGTCTGAAAGTGCAAAATTAGATTTGAATTATAATGGATTTGTATTAGGTAAATTTCATTACCGGGTTGAGATCAAGAAGAAGAAGAAGAAGAATATATTTGATTTTGGTATATTTATGTTAGTATCGACATCCACAAGTTCCACATAAGAGATAAATCATAGAACCTACCAAAGAGAAGACAATTAGGAGCGGGGCAGATCTACAGGATGAAGGAGAAGAATATAGAAGTAAGAAAAGAGTTATGGAGAAGGGGCCATAGGGATAGGTTTTGAAAGGGAGAGGCATTTATAGCTGCTGTAAGGGGCTGTTTGTTTTGTTGTTTTTGAGAGGTTTTAAGAGTGGAAAGCTGACATTTTCTGACATTTGAGAGGCGTTTTTGGGTGAAAAGCTGACATTTTCTGACAAAATGTCAGCTTTTCACCCTTAAAAAAATTACCCAAACGCGCCCTAAATGGACGGCTCAAGGAAAGTTAACTCTTTCGGAAGGCCAAAAGGAGTTATTAGTATAAAGAAATATTCCATGTCTATTACGTAACTGTTAAGCACAAGGTAATGGGTGAGCCCCATATGAGGTTTGTGCTGTTAGTCAAAGAAGGAGGAAGGACTTCTCTGATTAAGAGAAGCAAACGGCCAAAAATAAAAAGGAGCCGTCCACATGTTTTAAAGGAGCCGTCCACATTTTTTTTTGACTGCAACCACCGCCCAAAGAAACCAAGCCAGCATCTTTTGACAAAGCATCAAAAGAGGATAAGTGAGCGGGTCCCAGAGCAAGAAAACAATTGTACGTGGGCCCCACCGCGGGCCCATCACTAATAAAATATTGATGCATAGTATTTTTCCAAACACTATAAATAGACCTCAAACTCTTAAGGAAATCTCATCCCAGAAACAACTCCTCTTATAGAAGAGCAAGAGAGAGAAAAGAGAGGCTTAGAGAAAAATCTTTGTGAGAGAAAATTATGAGCAATTTTCAGAGTGGGATTGAGTTGTGAGAAAATTAAGAGTGTTGTAAAATTTTTCTTCATAGTGAAAGATCTGCAGCAGCCAGTGGACGTAGGCAATTTTGTGCCGAACCACGTAAATCTTGTGTGTCCCCCATTTTGAGCATTTATTTCGCTTCCTCTTAAGTCTGGAAATAGGGGAATCTGAATAATTACTATTCACATGAATAGTGAATTTCGTGAATAGTGAAATTTTGCCGACGATATCGACTTGTCGACAGAGGTGTTTTAATACACGGTGGTTTGCAGAAATTATCAGAAACGATCCAGAGAAAGTCAGATTCGAGTGGGAGCGATGGCTACAGATGAAGGGAAGGTGAAAATTGAAAAGTTCGATGGTGTGGACTTTGGCTTTTGGAAGATACAAATCGAAGATTATCTGTACCAGAAGAAGCTGTATCAACCTCTCTCAGGAAGTAAGCCAGATAATATGAAGGATGAAGAGTGGGCTCTTCTCGACAGACAAGCCCTTGGAGTTATCCGATTGACGTTATCCCGTAATGTTACTTTCAACATAGCAAAGGAAAAGACCACGACAGGTCTTATGGCGGCTCTCTGCAGCATGTATAAGAAACCATCTGCCTCAAACAAAGTTTACTTATTGAGGCGGCTGTTCAATTTGCGGATGACAGAAGGCGCATCGCTAGCTCAACATCTCAATGAACTCAACATAGTCACAACCCAGTTGAGTTCAGTTGGGATTGAGTTTGATGAGGAAGTTCAAGCGTTGATTCTTTTGTCTTCCCTACCAGAAAGCTGGAACGCTACAGTCACGGCTGTGAGTAGCTCATCGGGAAGCAACAAGTTGAAGTTCGATGACGTTCGTGATCTGGTTCTTAGTGAAGAAATTCGGCGGAGAGAATCAGGTGAAGCTTCAACCTCCTCAGCTTTACACACGGAGTCTAGGGGAAGAACTTCAAAAAGAAGTTCAAATCATGGCAGATCAAAATCTAGAAGGAGCAAATCTAGATCAGGAAAGAAAGACTTCAAATGCTACAATTGTGGCAAGAAAGGTCATTTCAAGAGGGAGTGCCGGGCACCGAAGAAAAACACCGGCGCACAGGAGTCTGCCAACGTGACCGAGGAAGGAGGTGATGCTATGATTCTAAGCGTCAATAGTCCGATTGAATCATGGATTCTTGATTCAGGGGCATCCTTTCACTCCACCCCATGCCGAGAAATCATGGAGAACTACATCAGCGGTGATTTCGGAAAGGTACATCTAGCAGATGATGAAACCTTAAAAATTATTAGCAAGGGAGACATCCGATTAAAATTGCCAAATCAGACCACGTGGAAGTTGCAAGGAGTGAGACATATTCCTGGTATTAGAAGAAATTTGATCTCTGTGGGACAGCTTGATGGAGAGGGTTATTGTACAACATTCTCGGGTCATGAATGGAAGATTACCAAAGGAGCACTCGTCATTGCTCGAGGTAATAAAAATGGTACTCTCTATATAACCTCTAACTTAGAGAATATCATTGCAGTAACAGATGCAGATGAAAAATCAAACCTATGGCACCAAAGGCCTTGCCATATGAGCGAGAAAGGGATGAAGATACTTCTGTCAAAAGGGAAGCTGCCGGATCTGAAGAATGTAGATGTCGGCCTATGCGAGGATTGTATCTTTGGCAAACAGAAGAAAATCAGTTTTACAAAGATTGGCAAGACACCCAAGACAGAAAGGTTAGAATTGGTTCATACCAACGTATGGGAGCCATCTCCAGTTTCATCTCTTACAGGCTCACTGTACTATGTCACCTTCATTGATGATTCTATAAGGAAGGTATGGGTCTATTTTCTAAAGAAGAAATCATAAGTCTTTGATACCTTCAGAAAATAGAAGGTCATGGTAGAAAATGAAACTGGTCTGAAGATAAAGCGGTTGAGGTCAGACAACAGAGGAGAGTACAAAGACAGTAGATTCAAAGAATTTTACGCAAACAACGGGATCAAGATGGAGAAAATAGTTCCCATGATACCACAGCAAAATGGCGTAGCAGAGCGCATGAACAGAACTTTGAATGAACGTGCCAGAAGCATGAGGATACATGCCGGACTGCCCAAGTTTCTATGGGCTGAAGCTATCAATACCGTAGCCTACGTAATCAACCGTGGACCCTCAGTTCCCTTGGATGGTGGAATACCAGAAGAATCTTAGAGCAGAAAAAAGGTAAACCTTTCATATTTAAGAATTTTTGGTTGTATCTCTTATGTACACATAGATTCTGCTGAAAGAAGTAAACTTAATGCCAAATCTAACAAATGTGTTTTTATTGGTTATGGTGATGATGAGTTTGGTTACCAATTTTAGGACTATAAAAATCGAAAGATCATCAGAAGCAGAGATGTCATATTCAACGAGAATATGATGTACAAAGACAGATCAACTGCAGAATCAAGTAGCTCCAGTACAAAAGCTGAAACAAAAGAATTTGTTGAATTTGAGGAGATTTCTGAAAAGGATATTCAGACTAGCCCTGAAGCAGTTCAAGAAGAACCAAGCACGCCAGAAGTGAGACGCTCCTCCAGAATTCCTAAGCCAACCCAGCGTTATTCGCCTTCTTTGCACTACCTGTTGCTGACTGACAGTGGTGAACCGGAGTGTTATGACGAAACAATACAGGTGAAGGATTCAGTCAAGTGGGAGTCTGCTATGCAAGATGAGATGGACTCGCTCATGTCAAATCAGACGTGGGACTTAGCTGAATTACCACTAGGTAAGAAAGTTCTTCATAACAAATGGATTTACAGGATCAAAGAAGAACATGATGGGAACAAGCGCTACAAGGCAAGATTGGTTGTCAAAGGCTTTCAGCAAAAGGAAGGTATTGACTATAATAAAATTTTCTCCCCGGTCGTGAAACTGACTATAATCAGATTAGTGTTGAAAATTGTAGCTGCTGAGAATTTACATCTTGAACAGTTAGATGTAAAAACAGCTTTCCTTCATGGTGATTTGGAGGAGGAGATTTATATGAAGCAACCAGAAGGCTTCATAAAGACAGGCAAGGAAAATCTAGTATGTCGTTTGAAGAAGAGCTTGTATGGATTGAAACAAGCTCCAGCTTTATGAGCATCAACGGTTTCACTAGATGCCAAGCAGATCATTGTTGCTATCTCAAGAAGTTTGACAATAGCTTTATTATTTTATTATTATACGTTGATAACATGCTCGTTGCAGGATCAGATCTGCAAGAGATTATAAATTTGAAGCAAAAATTATCAAAGCAGTTCGCAATGAAAGATCTTGGTGCTGCAAAGTAGATTCTTGGAATGAGGATCAAGAGAGACACGAAGTCTAGGACCTTGATGTTATCACAGGCTGAGTACATCAACAAAGTACTCTCTAGGTTCAACATGCAAGATGCAAAACCAGTGGGTACACCTTTAGGTGTTCATTTCAGACTTTCCAAAGAACAGTCACCGAACACATGACGAAGGTCACGTACGCCTTAGCAATTGGAAGTCTGATGTATGCCATGGTCTGTACAATACCAGATATTGCTCAAGCAGTGGGAGCTGTTAGCAGATGCATGAATGATCCAGGCAAGGTACACTGGGAAGCAGTCAAATGGATCCTCAGATATCTACGAGGCATCAAAGGTAAAACACTTTGTTTCAAAGGTGAAGATACAATACTAACAGGCTATGTAGATGCTGATCTAGCAGGAAATGTTGATATCAGAAAGAGCACTACAGGGTATGTATATACTCTAGGAGGTACTACAGTGAGTTGGGCTTCTCAATTGCAGAAGATAGTTGTTCTCTCCACAACTAAAGTAGAATATGTCGTTGTTACAGAAGCCAGCAAGGAAATTATGTGACTTTAAAGTTTCTTGGATGAATTAGGCAAGAAATAAGAAAACAATGTTTTATACTGCGACAGTCAAAGTGCTATTCATCTAGCGAAGAATCCGTCTTTCCATTCCAGAACGAAGCACATACAGATACGGTATCATTTTATCCGGTCACTTCTGGAAGATGGAATTTTGAAGCTTGAAAAGATCAGTGGACCTCAAAATCCGACAGACATGCTGACAAAGACGATGACTACTGACAAACTGAAGCTGTGTTCAGCTTCAGTTGGCCTACAATAGTATCAAGACCGGGGAAGAGCTACTGCATAGATCGAGATGTGAAGACAGATTGAAATCAGTCTTCAAGTGGAAGATTGTTAGTCAAAGAAGGGGGAAGGACTTCTCTGATTAAGAGAAGCAAACGGTCAAAAATAAAAAGGAGCCGCCCATATTTTTTTTGACTGCAACCACCGTCCAAAGAAACCAAGCCAGCATTTTTTGACAAAGCATCAAAAGAGGATAGGTGAGCGGGTCCCAGAGCAAGAAAACAATTGTATGTGGGCCCCACCGCGGGCCCACCATTAATAAAATATTGATGCATAGTGTTTTTCCAAACACTATAAATAGAACTCAAACTCTTAAGGAAATCTCATCCCAGAAACAACTCCTCTTATAGAAGAGCAAGAGAGAGAAAAGAGAGGCTTAGAGAAAAGTCTTTGTGAGAGAAAATTATGAGCAATTTTCAGAGTGGGATTGAGTTGTGAGAAAATTGAGAGTGTTGTAAAATTTCTCTTCATAGTGAAAGATCTGCAGCAGCCCGTGGACGTAGGCAATTTTGTGCCGAATCACGTAAATCTTGCGTGTCCCCCATTTTGCGCATTTATTTCGCTTCCTCTTAAGTCTGGAAATAGGGGAATCTAAGTAATCTCCCAACATGTGCATGCCTTGTCAGTGAGTGTATGTAGGTGTTGCTGGGAGTAGTTTGCTGTGTGAAGGTTTGCAGCTAATATCAAATTCTGATTCATAGAAAATTATCAACTTAATTTATTTGTTAAGCACTTGTATCCTATGAATCCAACGAAAATGGCATATCTTGAAGAACATTTGAGAGATAAATATACAAAAGATGGACCAAAAATATATCATGGAAAATTATAAGTAGGAAGACAGACTCACAGCAGATGTTGATTGTGGAGAAATGAGGATTGAGGGTGCAAATATATGGATATGGATATTACCATCTTAGCGGAGGAGCAAATAATTCAGCTGAATAGATTATTATTAGGCCCATATCAAAGAACTGGGATACAAGGATGCATCGTATTTCAAGGGCCAACTAATTTAACAAGGAAAGTGAAACAAAATTGTTGTAAATTTACCACATTAACATACGAACACAGGAAAGTGAAACAACTAATTTAACATTTTGTTTATACTAACCTTTGGTTGTTGTCCCTTTGATGGGCATTTAATATTTTCTTCGGAGAAGAATTGATAAAGCTCCAGTGTTGCATCCTGTCCAAATTCCTATAAAAAAGCAATCAGTGAATAATGAACCCTGGAACATAATGTAATTAGAGAATGAAACTAAGGATAATGACCCACATACTCTATTCAACCCTCCATCCACGGAAACTTTTGTTAGAAACCTGTCTCCAACCCTTTCATCCTTATAATGAAATAATGGGGAGAAGTCCTCTTCAGTAATACAACCTGACGGATACCTTGATGGAGGCTTAACAATGAGCGGTTGCCTGGAACGAGATATAGCATCAACCTTGGCCTATTACACAACAAGTAAAAATTAAAGAAAAAAAAAGAAGCTTTTGATGAGCGTAAGACAAAGATAATGCATAGTTAAATTGCACACGTGGAAGCATGTGTTCATGTGAAGTATTCATGACGCAAACTACATAATGTAAAAATGTGTGCATATGTAATCAGAAGTGTGTGCACACATTTGCATCTATGAAAATCTCCAACATGTCATCAAGAAGTAATTTCGCTGCCAGAATCATGAAATATGTCAAAAGAATGACCGCTGATCACAAGGAATTTCAAGCAGATCCATTTTATATCATGCTTTTCTCTAGAATATGATAAAGAAAATCAGATTACTAATACCAGTATGACCGTAATTTTCTAGGCAGCATTGCAATGGTTATAGTATTTTCTGTAAAATATCGATCTTTTAGAATCCAGTTAGGAAGAATGAACACAAAGATGTAACGTTCTATAGCCATGTCACAGTACTCAACTAGATCCGTGAATTTTATGCCCTAGTCCTAAGATTTTGGATATCAGGCTAAAGTTGTCTTCGATAAGCAACATTTTCACCTAATTTTCTTTCTCTTATCTAGTTTCAGAAAATCATGGCAGTATTGTGTCCTACTTTCATTTAGAAATATTGTATCCTGTGTTAATTATCAATTTTCAACAACAGATTTTTGCTATTTAGTATTAGATCTGAGTTAAAAGATAATGTTCAGTTGGTCAGCTCCTAAAACTAGTACTAGGTACCATAAATTTTTTTTAGCAAAACACAAACCTAGGCAAAGAATATGCTATCAAGGTATTTTCTGATAGAACATTCAGATCATAAAGAAGCTTCTTAGATTCACTGAAATTCTACTCCCTTCCCCATTTTCTCCTCCCTTCTATTTCCATCCTGTGATAACTTTTGCTAAATTAAGGTACAGTACAGTACCCCTCTCACTGTAAAATTTTAAGAAACAGTCAAGAACAGTGGCGGAGCTACATACTGTCCGTTCGTGTCACATGTCACCGGACACCACTAGATTGCTTACTTTATCCACATTTTTATTTAGTTTTACTTGTACTTACTATGCAGGACACCACTAAGGAGGATAAGATTAGAACATTGTCAATGTAGATAGTCTAATAAGTTATATAGGGACGATACCGCTAGAACAAAATCCTGGCTCCGCCACTGGTCAACAAAAGTAGACATGGTCATTACAATTTACAGATCAATATACAAATTCTAAATTTCTGCATACAAGTTCATAATAGAAGTGTCCATGCAAGCAAAATACTGCTATTAACTTGAAACCATCCTGCTTAATTTACATGTTCCCTAGGAAATACAGTAGGATCAAGGATGAAACTGCATATTTTTGTCCAAACCTCTTTAAAAGATAGAGCAATTGATCAAATATTCACCTTTGCTGTCTGAATCCTGTGCTAGCTTCTGCTTCTCTTTTGGAGTCTAAACAAATACAATTAAAAAGAGTTAAGAGGACAAATTAGGTTTTAAAAAGGAAAACTGAGGTAAAGAGGAATTTCATGAACTTTTTCAGAAATGCCGTCAACGATTCGATCGGAAGCTTGCTGGAGATCGTGAAGAGATCGGCCGAGTTGGCGGTAGATGTCGACGGAGTTCTCCCGCCGGGCGGCTGCCTTCCTCGGATGACACCCGGAGCATTTCTTCTTCTCCCCTCGGACGCTTTTGGCCGCGACGGCGAAGCGGGTCGGGTTCACCAATATACAACAGGATCTGGGTCTAGAAAAATTGGGCCCAAGTAAAGGCTTCACGCCTCCCGTCTTTTGATGGTCTACTCCAAGCCTAAATAGAAAATCTTTTCAATGTTCTTTAGAAACTTTTCATTCCTTTTTTTTTTAATAAGAGAAGTAAAATGCTCTTCATGGAATGAGTAATCCATTCCTCTCATAATATAGGAGAAAATTCCTTCCATAATATTACATGTGGTCTATATTCAATTTGTTCACAAGCGCATGCTTTACTGAATCCCCGTAATGGTCAAATCCTGTTGTCCACATTCACATATTGGGTAGCGGTGAGCATAATACCATGAGCAATTAGACCCGGAATATTATCTTTGAGAGGCAATATTAAGAGCTTGAGCAATACTTCCAAAAAGTTTCAAAGATATAATGTATGTTAGTATCTTGAATACCGACTATTTATGTGGATCACACAATTTACCCCAAAGTGATTAAAATGGTTCATACTCCTTGGATATGGAACTACAACAAAGCACAAAGTAAGGAAGGGCGTTCTATTCATTCCTCAATTTCTGTGGAAGTTCAAAATCAATTACAATTACCACTATTTCAATTCAAAAAAGTAAAAAAAAAAAAAGTAAAAAAAAGAAGGTTACAGCTAAGTGGATAACATACAACTCTTCGTATGGGATTCCCAGATTCCCCCACAAAAAACAACAATCTGGGATCTCCATCATTAAAGACGGAATCATATACCTGACTATTATCCAAATATAGGCTTTACAAAATGAAATGAAGCAAATTGGACTGAGACAAACTAACATACATGTCACATGTGTCTAATTTCTGTACTCTGAAGACATGAGAGTACTCCCCCGATATGCTAACATACATACTTAACCAACCATTCCAGGCTCTGCAAAACAATAGCTAGTTTCAGTTCAACCGAAATTGCAATCAAAATTGAATTCTTGTTGAAATGGAAATCAAACTGTAAATATCTCCAAGAAGAATATGTATACCTGAATACACTCAGGTAGATCATCACTCTTACTGCGCACGTGCCGCTGCATCAATTCATGATCATTTATGCATTCAGATGATATATTAAAAGACAATCCCTACTTGTATGTATCAAAATGAAGGGGCAAGGCAAACGTGGTGCTTGAAGTAACTACATCATTTGTTTGATAGTGTATTAATTCATTGAGCAGAAGTTAATAGCTGAGAGCTTAATCACCTCCATGACCCTGAGACAAGAGGAATCTCGACTTGTAGCAAGGCAAGCAAGGATAACCAATCCGGCAGCCACAGTAGAGGGCCAGAAGCAAAGCCTCTCGTGGTCAAGAAGTGAGAGGACAGCTAAGTACCTCGTCAGGGACTCCACCTCGGCATCCGCATTTGCTGCTTTCAGATAAAACCTGCAATATTGTTGCATCTCAATACCTACTTTCTTATAGCTCCCTCGATTTATGAAAAAAAGGGGGAATTAGTATTACCACAAGAAATTGTGCGTTGTGGGCAGCATGCACTGGAAATTGAGAACCTCTAGTACCAGCCATTCCATTGCAACTACTTCAGCTCGAGCGTAGACATTGTCTCCCACTGTGAAAGATCTTCGCCGAATACTAATCGAGTACAATGAGACAACAATAAAGAACAAATCAAGTCAGGAAAAACTGAGGTTTACTCCATAAAATGGAAAATGTGCGAGTAATGAGAGCATCTACTTGTTCCAAGGCTGGACCTCTTCGAGCCTAGTAGCGATAGTGACAGACGCAATGCCGAGTAGTTGCAGGTTCCTTTCAGTCTCAAAGTATCCCCTGGTGAGAAATCTGTCCATCAAGCTCACACCCAAGAACAAAGTCTCAGGCTGCAGCTCCATCTCCTGCGAATGCTGCAATTAATGACAACAAAATATGTCATCCTCCTAGTAGCCTATTTCATGAATAAAAATGCCATACATCAGATTTAACCATTTCAGGCTTTTTCATGATTAATTTGGCGACAGCTTTTGATCACTCAAAAGAAAATTGGCAATAGCTTACAGGGGTACAAATGAAAATTCAATAGCATTTTGCTCCCTAGAAAAGTCCCTATAATCATTACGACAGTACTTTCACCTATTGTGTTCTACTTATTCCCCAAGAAATCCCATATTACATATTTCAATACACATAGCAGCAATTACTGAATAGGAACAGAGAAATTAAAACCCAAATTCTACCAACTAACTAGTTCCAGCGGAACATTTTAAGTTCATAACTGAATTCACGCAAGTGCCATCATGCGGCGGTTAGACAGCGAGAAAGGAGCGTGGGGGTCCCACTGCTACTTTATTCTCGTGTAAACCTAGTACAAATCTACTGTACCATAGAAACCGGTTAAAGAATCTAAATCATAGCCCGTTTCATTTCATGACAAAACTAAATTTAACACCGTAGATAAGCACGAAACTAATAAAATAACCCTGTACCCGCGGAACACTACAACCAACAACGTGAGGCGGTTAGCTAAAAGGGAGGCAGCCAATTAAGATGTGCCTCACCTCCACCATCCAGTTAACCATCACTAACCGCTGCTGAAGGATCAGATCGCCGTAGTCCGTTGCCGATCTGAATTCCTCGCTGAAATCTTTCAAAATTACTTCTCTCCTCTCTCTGCCTCGTATATTCTTGTAGCTTTCCTCGTCCTCCTCCTCTTCGAATTTTATAATCTAAACAAAATAAATGATTAATTAACAGATAATTAAGCATTAAATCACTTCAAGTAGCAATTAAGGATCTGAAACGCACTCTGAATTCCTGTGAGCCGTCGTCCTGAATCATTTCGGTTGATTTTTCTCTTGAACCGAAGCTGCTACTTGATCTCGCGAACTGCTTAGCTAACTCACGAAAAATTGAGAAAGCAATAGATGGAGTCGACTCATTCGATCTCTCGGAGAAGTCTTCAGGAGACTCGAAAAGAACGGAGAGCGAGTGATCGGACGAGTCTCTCTGCGAATTTCGATAGAACAGCTCAGATTCAACTTCTGATAGCGTCATCTCGTTGCAAGTGGAGTAATCCGAGCACTCATCATCCGAGAGCTTCTCCGAGCAAGCGAGACCAGAATCGAGGTCGAAGGCTATCTGGAGGCTGCTGCCTTGATCTCCCACTGAGTTAGAGATTCTCGCGATTTTAGCATCAGAAACCGACTCGAGGCAAGAGGACTCGGAGATCTCCGCAAATTTCTCAGCCGCTTCACTAGACACAGCGTTTTCGTTGAGGCTCGCTGAAAGTCCTCCAGTAATTTGAGTAACCTCAGAGGTTTGGATCTCTGAAGCAGCAGCGTTCCCCTCGCTAATCTCTTGCTCCGATCTCTCCATCTCCTTCTTCCTCGCGTAGGATCTGGTGATCCTGCGGAACTCGTCGCCGGATCTGAGCTCAGAAACCTGCTTCTTGCTCTTCGCCGCTCGAGATAGCTTCGGCCGCTTCATCACGTCGGATCCAGCGAAATCGAAGCTGGAGTCGAAGGAAACCTCGCTGTGCAGGCAAGAAGAAGACGATTCTTCTTCTAGAACCTCGTCGAAGTCGGAGTTCGAGATCCTCGCCGCGATCGGAAGGGGAGGAACTCGTTTCCGACGAGGAATCTTCGATCGGAGGCGTTTGGGGCCGGCGGAGGATCGCCGGGAGATCGGATCGGCGTTCATTGAGCTCGCTCTATCTTGGAAAAGATGAAGAGTTTTAGAGTGGGGATTTGAGGAGAGAGGCATTCGTGTGGCTCCATTTATAGGGAAGGGGAGGGTTTGCCACGTCAGCATTCTTCTCCTTCTTTTTGGCTCGCAGTAGAAGATAATTTGATCATGCATTTCGCGACTGACGTCGTCTGGTGGGATCCGGATAGGGTCTAGTTACGGTCAGTGGACACGTGGCCGGCTATGATGGAAGTAAGCACTCAGGGGCTGTTTGGTTGTCTTTTTTAGAGGCTGAATCCCTGTTAAAACTGACAAAAACTGTCAGTTTTGACAAGAAATCACCCAAAAACGCCTCTAAAAAAGACGTTTTTGCAAGATTCTCTGTCAAAACTGACAGTTTTTGTCAGTTTTGACAGGGATTCAGCCTCTAAAAGAGTCAACCAAACAGCCCCTCAATGAACTGGTCTTTATGCTCCGTGGATGAAAAATGATACAGGCACAAAAAATTCAAGGGGAGCCCCTGCACTGTAGTTAGGGGGTGTGGTCGGAGGTGTACTCGAGGGTGTGCCTGTAGCACCTTTCTTTGTGGAATATCGATTCAGCTTGTGATCCTGTGTGCAATATTGAATTTGTGCAGATTTGCTCAACATAACTCGGAAAGTGGAAGTCTTTATATTTACAGGTTACGTTTGATTGGGGACTTTATTTGTCTCGTTATAGTCTGGAGATATAATTATACTGGACACTTTAGTGAGGTTAATTTTTAACAATATATTTGGTTCAATTTGTTATAAACACTTCTAATAGCTATATCATATTTGAAAACTTTCATTATAAAGTAGTAGAGGATTAGAATATGACAACAAATGTACACAAACACTCTTCTGCCTGTCTGCCATGTCTTAGTCAAATTTTAACAGTGTTTCAGGTAAATTGTTGCTGCCGAGCATCTAATTTGTCTAAGGGGCTGTTTGGTTGGCATTTTTTGCCCTTGTAAAGCTGTCAAAACTGACAAAAGCTGTCAGTTTTTGCAGCTTCACCTGCAAAAACGCCTATTTTTGAGCGTTTTTGCAGGTAAAGCTGCCAAAACTGACAACTTTTGTCAGTTTTGGCAGCTTTACAAGAGCAAAAAAATGCCAACCAACCTAAATGTTTTGTTCAAGAAATTCATCAAAAGTGTCTGACACCACCAAACATAATTAGCCACATGCAATTTTAAAAATTAAGTTGTTTTCCGATTTCTTTTTTGTGCTGAGCTCTGAATCTTCTGATCTTCTTCCTTTTTCATTTTCATTTTTATTTTTCCCGGGCACATGAGGGCTACAGGCCAATGAAATAATTAGGGAGCAAAACTATGTGATGTTAGGGAAATTAAGACACTCCACTCCCATATTTAGTCCAAGATCTCTGGACTATTATATCGATCTAGCCCCTCCAAACTTGTAAACTAAACACCTCACTATTTTATTTTAAAGTTTTATCAACTTAAAATAGTACCTAATCTATTTAAAGTTTTATCATAAGACCTTTTAATAGAAATTAAATATTTTGAATATTTTTATATTAATTATAGTACAAATAGAGTGCAATGAAAAGATGTAAGAGAAGTAGCTAAATTATCGGATCAATATTTTCAGTAAGACACATTTTCTGATTTGGTATTTTAAATTTCTCCAATTATTAACATATTAATCCTAAATTTTTACTTGCAATAAGGGATGTATGCTCGTTGCTGGCGAAGACTTTGGTGTGAAAGTGCCGCGTGCCGCCAGCGAAGATTTTTGTGTGAAAGCATCGTGTGATCATTACATGACTTTTATGGACCCTTTTAAGCGTAGTTGGCGCATAATATAGGAATCAAACTCTATTAGGGAGCGATGCTACTTTGCCATGTGAACTACTGGGTCGCCCCACCTTTTAATTAAACAGTTACGTGACTAACATAACGATACTGCAAGAATGAACAACGATTAATAGTTTGAAATTTATTAGGTATCCAGGCACAACCTGGAACTATATATATATTTTACTTAATTGAGAAGTTTATATTGTTTGATTAATGAATACCCTTTAAAAATTACACGAGTGTGTTAGAAAACGGTGCAAATCAACTAATTTAGTTGGATCATCAATCAAACAATAAAATTCTGATATGGATCATATCCACAGCTCATATATTCAATTCGTTTGATTTATTGCATTAATTAAACAAAAAATTAAACCCCACCAATGTAATCAAACTTGACAAGAACAACCTAAAGTTTTTTAGTTGGGCCTATTATTATTAACACACATTCCGTTTCTTTTTCTTGATTCTATCTATAACGAACCTGTCAATTTTTTTCTCCATATAGGAAAGTGCGTTTATAAAATAGTTTATTGCCATCCACATATGAATAAACCTACACAAATAATGATTTTCTTTAACAAATTGGCATTTTTATTATTTTAAAATTGAATAAAGAACGAAATACTTTTGGCATTTCTTCAAACTAACAAGCGGCATAGAGCAACCTCCTCAATCATCCCACTAACTACCAAACCTAATCCCATTTTAAACTAATTCAAAATAAATTCATTTCAAACTCCAAACTGCACCCAAACCGCCACCCCAAGCAACCAAAGAAAGCATAGCCTGTTCCTTAGTGGAGGTCCCAATATTAAGTCCAATTATTGATAGGTTGTTATCCCTCGTGCAGTAATGAGCACGGGAAGCACTATTTCCAGCTCACTTTCCCCCTCTTTTCGTCACAAGCCGTCTCGGCCTCGCCTTCCCCGCTTCCACTCACCTCCCTACTCTTTCACCTCACAGTTATTACCAACCGTTTGTTTTGCTTATCTAACATCTAAATCTAAATATTTACAGAATTGCCCACAAAAAAAGAAAAGAAAGTCTTCCTGAGATTTGCAAGATTAATATTAGCTTTCACGTTCAAGTTAATTCTGAATTTAAATTATAAAAGAGTTGGATAAGTATCATTTTTACAGCCTTATGAGGTTTCTGTGTCAACTTTAAATTTCATAGACGTTTTTTTTTCCTTTAAATTTACCTTCTTTTCTAGTTTAAGATTTAACGGCTCGAAGTGAAAATTATATTTTAACCAATCTCAAAGAATACGGAGACAAATTACCAATATTAAATTTAGGGGCGTATTCTGCAAATAACATAAATTCAGGGCTATTACATTAAAAACGCGCGGCCCTAAAAATCCGTTTCTCCGTCGTTTTCTCGCTTGGTCATCACCGGAGGTGACCACATCCTCACTCACTCTTCCCCTTATCCTTCCAAAGGCCTCACCTTTAAATACCGACCCCCGAATTTTTTCCAACCTCAAAAAAAATCTCAAACTCGCCAGCCTCTAATGGCCGCCGTCAGGGAGCGTAGGCTCAATCTAAGGCCCTCGAACTCCGCCTCGCCGGAATCTCCGAGCCGCCCGCCGCCTCAGCGCGCGCCGCGCACACCGCGCACCGCCTCCTCTTTCCCTCTCGCCTCCTCTCCCCTCCAACGCCGCCGCGGCGACTACAAACTGTCCGACTTCGACAAGCTCGGCGTCCTCGCACGGCAAGCGGCGGCACGCGTCTACAAAGGTCCGCCACGCCGCCGGAGCAACGCCGTCCACCCGCCCTCAAGGTCCTGCTCTCCGTCGACTCTCCGTCCGCGAGATCAACCCACCCGGCCCTCGCACAGCCTGGCACGTCGTTCAGTTCCTTCGCCGCCGTATTCCGCCGCCTCCGGCGACGCCCGCTCTCCTGCTGCGAGTTCATGGACGCTCGGGTCCCTGATCGCGCGGATCGGCGCTTCCCGAGCTCCGCCCTCGCCGAGATCGCCGCCCACAACCTAGCCGGCCTCCACTACCTGCCACAGCCAAAAGAATCGTCCATCGCCGACATCAAGCCCTCAAAATCTCTTGCCCTCAACTCGCGCCGCGAGTAATCAAGATCGCGACTTCGGGAGTGAGCGAAGCATCATGCGACGGACACGCTGGACCCGTGCCGGGTCCTTACGTCGCGCAACGTGCGCGTACATGAGTCCGCGAGAGGTTCGATCCGGAGAATATGGGCGGAAGTACGACGCCTACGCCTGGGCTGACGTGGTGGAGTTTGGCGGGCTGTACATCTTGCGAGCCCTGCTATTTGGGCCACTTCCTCTTGCTGCCCGGTGGGTCCAGAGGCCGGACTGGCGAACGCTTGATGTGCGTCGATGCTGCCTTCGGGGAGGCGCCGGCGGTGCCGGGCGGGCTAGGCGACGGAGGGGTTCAGGGGTTTCGTCGGCGTGCCTGGCTGCAGAAAGAGGCGGGAAGGAGGTGGCGGTGAAGGAGGCTTGATTGTGCAGGCAGCGCCGTTTTTTGGCGGGAAGGACCGGCGCGGGGCGTGCGGAAGGGCTTTGTAGAGAGGCCGGTGAGGGCCGCGGCCGGCGAGGTTTGAGCGGCGGAGGCGTGTTTTGGGAATTGTGTATAGATGGATCGGTCCCCGGGAATGATCGGCAGGATCCTTTAGATTTTCTTTTGTTTTATTTTAATTTTTTTAATTTTTTATTTGTTGGGTGAGACTAATGCCTGAGATTCTTGTTGTACTTTCTTGTTCGATAACAAATTAATTATACCATGAGTTAATTGTAGATAAGGAGTTTAGCTTGATGCCGCTTAGAAATAATTAATGGGAGAAATGATGGGTATTTGATAGAGAGATGACATCTACAATTTAATATTGGATAATGCTAACTAAATTGTTAGTGGTTGCATGAGTAAACAATATTTTTTATTTTTATTTTTTTTGATTTCAGAATCAAATTCAAAATCATAGGAGCAAACCTTTAAACGGTCTAAATCACTAACAAGTGATAATTATTTCGATATATGTTTTCTTTTCTCACACTTTACCTATAATTATAGTACAAACATAATAATTCTTTTTAGCTTGTTCCAACAAGCATATAGATACCGAGTCCATTGCATCACGTAGGTAACAATTGTACTATCTTTTCGTTACAAGAGACAAAAAGTGAGATTCTAAGAATGATCCAGATATGGGTTTTTTGTTTTTGTTTTTTACGATACAAAAATAACTCTAGAGTTTGTACGGTGCTTAATTATTATTAGATTCATGATCCAGATATAGTTTTATGGTAATTATTATGAAACTCCCTTCAGGTTGAGAGTTTATCATGCACCCTCAAATGTTATTTTTTCATTGCAAAAATATCGTGCGGTTATAAAGCCGTTAAAACCTATTTGTGAAGAATAGTGAAAAAGTAGAGGTAGAAGTACTCGTCGAATCATAAAAATCTCTGTGTTTATGTTGTTGCTTACTCTCTCCTATTGTGTGTGCTATTATGCTCTGGTACTTCCCCAGTAGGTACTTTAGAGGAAAGTGTACAAATTAGATTGATTTTAACAATTTATTGACAACAAGAGGTGTTGTAATGAAAAAAAGTAGCGTTAGGAGATTTCATAATAAAATCGCTCAAATCTGAAGGAGTTTTCATAATATTTACCCTATTTTTATTATAAAGAAAATTACTTTATTTTGCAGATGCAAATTGGAGTTTCATAAACTGATGTATACTATGCTTATAAAAACCAATCTTTTCTAACCTTTTACTTCTAAAATTCATCGCATTCTATCGTGCATAATTGATCATTACATGCTAAACCTGAATTCCAAGCTGTTGCTCACAAGAGACACTGATTAGATTTGGATCCTCTCTAATTATGTGGTAATTGGCACATCCAATTATCCCTATGCTTACTCTCAATTCTGATTTCAAGAGCTAAGATGAAATCACGTAAAATTTCCACTATTACAAAACTGCTTGTCACAATAGTAATTTTAAAGATCATAGTGATTTTTAAAATAATATATAGAGCTATACGTGGCTTCATCTCGATCGTCGAAACTTAAATAGAGAGTAAAGATCGACTTAAATGGAGATGATCCAAATCCGACACGGATGAAGGCGGATACGGGATACCGGCCTTCGTGATCGAGTGTGATGCGTCACCAAGAAAATAGAAATGTTAGGGACACACCCACAACCACAATTCAAACCACACCTCTACTCTCTCTATAGTGCATTGGGACCCACATGAAATTTTATTTTTAAAATTTCATGTGGGTCCCAATGCATTATAGAGAGAATAGAGGTGTGGTTTGAATTGTGGTTGAGGGTGTGTACCTAACACCCCTCCCAAGAAAAACCCAAGTCGCGACGTCAATGATTGTGAGTCCCATGAGATCCCACCAAGAAGATTCCAGTGACTGTGACCTGGGTCTTGGACAGGCCATGGGCACATATTCACAGCCCATTACCACAGCCCAATAAAGCGCACTCTATGAACGGCCCAAATATTTGCTTCAAATGCTAAAGGCCCGTTCTAGATAAAAATATCCAACATGCCCCCTCATCCAAACAAACTCCTTGCGCACCAATCACTTACCGATGCTCATCCGAACTCTCCTCCCTCGAGTTCAATACTCACGTCTCCCTCTCCAACCTCAACCTACCGTCAACAAATCCAACATGACAAATTCCGCATTTTCGTCGAACTTCTCGTGTTTCCGCAAGTCCGTGAGGATCAACTCCAGAGGCGTATGTTGTAGCGCAAGACGAAGAGTGAGATACGGAGACGACGAGGTTGAAGATGAAGAGTACGGGCACAACAAGGAGATCGCGATGCTCGAATCATACAGTGAGTCTGCTTGGTCCAAGGCATTATTGGTTCGAGCTTTGGTGGATGGCGAAGAAGAAGAAGTGCTCATTTTTAGAGTATGCCACTTAATTTCTGCCTCTATTTCTTTTCTTACTATACTTCTTGATTATATATTCTTAATGCCACTAGTCTAATTATAGTTTAGACATATCCAGTGTATTCCCAACTTTCCTATTTTGTTTAAGTTCTTTCCTTTTCCCCCCTCTTAGCCTCATCCTTTATAAAACATTCTAATTCTAAAACATTCTAATCTTTAATCTCAATACAACGACATGGATTGTTAAATTTGAAATCAATTTAGCCATTGCAGAAGATAGTCTATTGTTTACAGGATTTAGTTCTCTAAAAGCAATAAAAAAACTCCTTCTTAATTAGTAACAACAGTCCATTTTAAGTGGAATATTTTATTGGTTCTAAATCTAGCACATATTATATCCCATGTGATTTCAGGGGTTCTCATCTTGCTTAAGCTCGAGAACTGCAACGGAGCTATCGAAGAGTGTTCTTCCACAAAAGGCAATCATAAAGTCCATAGATGTGATCAAGGGCCCATTTGATCCTTCCAACATTGAATATTTGGAGAGGGACTTGACATGGGAAACTTTCAAGAGTCGCTTACGAACCAATACGCTTTAGATTAAGGAAAATAATAGGGGCACACCTCCAACCACACCTTCAACCACAACCCCTCTTTTGCTACAGTGCATTAGGACCCACATAAGATTTTTATTTTAAAATCATATGTGGGTCCCAGTGCATTGTAACAAGAGAGGGAGTGTGATCGGAGGTGTGGTTGGCGGTGTGCCCCTAGTGCCTCTCTTAGATTAATGGTTGCATTTTATTACTTTGCGGGCTTGAAGTACTTTTGTTCTATGTAAATGGATGTTTATTTATTTGATAGTAATAGCAGACCTTAGCTCAGCTTCTGTCATATCAAAGTAATCTGCCCATGATTCTTAGTGAAATTGGTGATTAAATAAGAATCTAACGGGAAAACCAAAATTGTACTAATATGACACGAACAAACGAGTACAAAGCTAAAGCCGTGGCAATGCAAAAGAAATCAAAATGGAAAATAACAAAATATTATGCTGAATGAAGAGCTAAACGGAACATATATGATGTTGAACTCTTTTTACTTGACGTAGAACATACAGCAGACACGTTTATGTCAAAGTGGGACAATCGCAAGCCCAAATGCGGGTCTGGTCGAAGAAAATAACTAGTTTCGAAGAAACGGCCGTAACTTTCAAACCGTATGTCAGAATTGGACGAATTATCTATGAAAATCGACTATCTCGACGAGAAGGAACCATCCAAACCCACCCCTTCGGGTTCGGTTTGCGTTTTTCGTTTCGCCAAATTCCTTACGGTTTGAGAGATATTTGTATTTTTATCCGTTTTTTACTATTTTTAGTAATATTTTAAGAGTCTTTTTGTTTAGGAAACAAATCCGATTTGATCTCAGATTTGACCGGTGGACTTTCCTAGTAATAATGAGTCTTTTTAGGAGTTTTAATATTTTAGGAATTCTTTTACTATTTTTGATAGAGTTTGAGTCCTTGAAGGAGTCTTGTTTCTTTTTTCTATTTAAGAAGAGTCTTGTAAGCCCTAGAGGCATAACTTTTGATTAATAAATTTTCTTTTTTCCTCAATATTTCTTCGTGGATTCAAAGCTCTTCGTGGATTCGAAGATTTTCCTTGATGGATTTCGAGGCTACTACTTCCGCGCTATGTCAAGAAAACAGAAATTGTGTCTCTGATGAGAGAATATATATGTTGCAAAAGCTGGAGAGGGGAGAAGAAGAATGAGTTCATCACTGCAGAATGTGTTTGAAGAAAGTCAATAGATATTTAGAAATAGGGTACGTAATGTGCAACATGATCTGGTTAGGTCCTGGATGAGAAGGAGATTATATTTGAGCGTGAAAGTTAGGAAAGAGGGACATACTTAATTTAAAACTGAAGGGAATTTGGGTAGTATAAGTTGTGGTTTAAATTTTATGATTGTCCTGAAAACTGTCTTTACTAGTTTAATTGGATAAATGGCTAATTTCCTTGTTGATAGTAATATAATTTAAATAGGAATGAAAGAATTTTGTTCTCAAACATGTCTATTAAAATGTTAGCTGCCCTGTATTTATATTGCTTTTCATAGGAATAATCTATTTGATGTAATATAATGATATAAATTTGTTTTACATGACTGTTGAATACAGACTTTCTTAATGCTGATTGCAGTCAATTATTTCATGTTTACAAGTTATAAATGTTTATTAATCTCTATTTTCTTCAATATTCAAAGTGACTTTTTTTTCATTTTAAATACATATTTCAAATTAGCTTACTATTGAAGAAAGCTCCTCTTTCTTGGATTTATTGTGCAACACGGTAGAGCATTAATTTCTAAGAACAAGGTTGAATTACGGTGGAGTGTCCCTTTAGATTTATGAAAATTTCATATTCATGCATAAAAATAAATTTTCTTACATGTTTCAGAACTTATAATTCTCAGTCTTCGCTAAACTACCATGAACTCTGGTTTTTTGCACAAAATCACCATAAGCTTTGTATTAGGAAAAAAAAAGCCATGATCAAAATTGCAGAAAAATACCATGAATTATTGGAAATTGTTGCAACATATTAGATGGGTAGAGGGAAATGTAGAAGACACATAAAGTACATAAGGGCACATTGTCCAAAATATGTTTTTTATCCATCCTGCTGTTAGACATGGTAGTTTAGCAAAGTTTATGGTAGTTTTTTCGGCAATTTGTTTCTGTCGATGCCTGCATAATAAAACTATAAGAATACTGATGCAGGGAGTGAGATATCTTTCTTCAAGAATGGAGTATGTCAAGGTGTTGCGTACAAAGACATCTCCGGTGGAAGGTACTATCCAGCAGCGTCAATGTACACAATGCCCAATCAACCTAATTGCGAAGTGAGATTCAATTTTGGTCCAAATTTTGAGTTTTTTCCACAAGATTTCGGAGGCCGTCCAATTCCTAGACCCATGAGTGAGGTTCCTTATCACGACTTCGATGTCAAGGTCGAAGCCCCAAAAGAAAATGGCTTCCATAACTAACAAAAGCTTTTGTTCCCTTTAGTTCTTTCCTAAAGAAGACTTTTTGTTTTTTGATTAGGTATGTAACTTAATTTTGTTTTTTATGTGATGATAATTCTTGAGAGCAAGTTAGTACTGCTGATGATGTGGTATTGTTCGTAAATTAGGTAGTGTTGTTGTTGAAATTATGTTGCCTGCCTCGAGGATGCTAGTGATATCAAGCTATTATTAGTGAAGAAAGTCTCTCTCTCTCTCTCTCTCTCTCTCTCTCTCTCTCTCTCGTTTCTTTTTTTTTCCATTTCCTTTTTCTTCACTCCTGAGCTTTTTTGTTGATCTAAATGAATATATGCAAGATGAGAACCATCATGTGCATGAAGGGAAACGATTAGATGTATGAAGTAAATTTTGGTTTAAAATGATTTTTTTGCTTCAGAGAAACTTGATATCGTGCTATCACTTTGTAGATTAGGTGTTGTTTTTCTTGCAAATTTCTGTTGCCTGTTTTGAGGATGTTACTAATATCGACCAATGTGTTACAGTCAAAAGAGGCTTGAATAAGGATTCTATCAAAGCACTTAAGTAAGGATTCTATTAAAACACCCAATAGAAAAGGGGTGATTTATATGAGTGGCACTAGGGGCATACCACCAACCACAACCTCAACCACACTCCCTTTCTCATTCGCTACAGTGTACTGGACCCCACATGGGATTTTAAAATTTTAAAATCCCATGTGGGGCCCGGTGCACTATAGCGAATGAGAGAGGGAGTGTGGTTAAGGTTGTGGTTGGTGGTGTGTCCCTATCATTTTCCGATTTATATACCATTTATAGGTGGCTAGAGAGTTGGGTTGGTAGATCATCCCCACCCCTCTAGGAATGGTTCTGATGGGATCCCTATTACTTGGGGTGACTTTGTCGATCTAAAATGAATATCTTCAACATGAGGTAACAGTGTAAGCTTACGTGGTTATTTCCATTGTATATTCAATTCTGAGCATTAGCTGGAAAGTTTAAGCATTATTAGTGAATGCCAACCAATTTCAAGTCTTAATCAGCAATAAAAGCTTAAGATAGGCTTGTTATTTGCAAGGTGGGGGGCCATAATGTATTTGTTACTTCATTCAAGATTTTATCTTCATTATCTCGATTTTCATGATAGTTCTGCATAACGCATGCATAGACTTCTTTGGGTATATGAAGATGGAATGAAAAGGAAAGGTGCATAAATTCTCCACCCAAATTGCCTTATCTTCTCCTCTCATAAGAAAACAAATCAATACCTTGTCCATTTTCAAAATATCTTTGCGCCATGGAGAGAGTACTGAAGGATAATATCCCTCTAACATTAAGCAAACATCTCTCTTCTGCACCAAAAGTAAGCCATGCCTTCATGTTCTCTTAACCGATCATTGGCTACCCTCTCTCTCCCTCTCACTCACTCTATCTCTTCAAAAACTTCAGTTCAAATACCGCAATCTCCTTCTAAGCAAAGTTCTAATTTGGTAATTTCAGATGATTCTTTTACTATTGCTGCCATCGTCGAAGCTGTTAGCCTTGCAAATGCAGCTGCTGAGGCTGCGAAAGACGCAGTTTCTTCTGCTCTTGTGCTTGAACAGCTTGAGATTGGAGGAGGAGATGGTTGCCGGAGGAGGAGGAGAATGAGGAAGAGGAAGAGGATGATGGGTGTATTTAGCTATTTTGAAGATGACGAAGGCTTAGGTGGAAATGTAGTTAAGGGATCTTTGTCGAAGTCAGAGAGATCTCGGTATCTGACACGGAGACAAGAGGCTGAGTTTTCGGTCTCTCTCAAGGTATTTGGAACAATTTCATCCCTTAATCCTAAACAGATTATCAAATGTTAGATACTTAGAAGACATATTTGAGTGAGCAAGTTTTATAATATAATTGAAGGGTATTAACATTATGTACCGTTCACCCTTTTTGATAAATACGTTCACCCTTTTTGATAAATACAACAGTGAAAAACTAAATGGGTCTCATTGGAGATTGGTATTTGGATATCGCTCTTCAAGTTATGCAAGCCCCATTTGGGTATTGTTCTTCAAAACTAACAAGATATTACGCTGTTTTACACCATCTAAGCAGCAACCTACAACAGAAATTAATCATGCAAAATATCAAAATCATGTGATTACTCATAGGGGGGAAAAACCATTTTTATAGGGAATTTGAAGACCATATCACACAGTTTGGAACCATCAAAGTAGAAGACATCCCAAAAATAGCACAACATCCTCTAATAGAAAAGCATGTAATCCATCCTTGTTACAATAAGAATGTCTTATAAACAGTTATTGCTAACTATATCCAAATGATAGTTTAGATTTACACATAATTAGTCCTTGTGAACTGCCATCATCATTATGTAAACATCCAATTGTCATCTACATAATGAAATCTGCATTATGCTTTGATTTCTCCACATTTCCAATTTCCACATTGGCAAATACCATATGCAATCAAATTTTATAAAATTTTCTTATTGGATAAAAGCACGATCTTCAACGAATTTGGTATACCTGCAGGTTGGAGCTATGCTAGAGGATACGGACTCAATAAGTAATAATACAACAGCCGAAGCAATTGAGAGGAGGGGGAAAGCTGACAAAGCTTGCCTGAGAGCAAGGGAGTGCAGAGAGAGGATCACTCTGAGCTATAAAAGGCTTGTTGAAACACCACATATGCTCTCTATTCGCAAAGGGCTGAGTCTGCAGGATCTCATCCAGGTTGAACCCATGTTCCTCTAAAACTTTCTCTAAAACTTTCAGGTAGTGGATAATATGCCCAAGGTCCAATCCAAGTGATAACGTAGTCTTAACATGAGTCCCAAGCATCGGCTTAGGCAATATATGGATGTTAGATTTGGGGTCTATCTTCACTTGGCTCGTAGGCTCCTTTTTGCATCGTAACCAATACGTTAGGTGTGAGCTTTACAGCAACTGCCATTGGACTAAAGCTGTTATTCAACTATTTCAGATTGAGCATCAAGTTAAATTGTTTCAGATTACAGCCATTGACTAAAATAGCACTTGCTGTCAACTCGTTCCAAAGTCTAAACACGGGATAGTAGAATAATTCACTAACTTTAACTGTTTGAAACTAAAAGGAGAAGAATTCCTCTTGAACATTTTGTCTACGAGACTACAACTACACCACAATGGATGGTGCTTAAAAACCTGATATTTTCCATAATGATAGTATAAGATGGAAACACAACCAAACAAAACCAAAAATGACGAACTTGTCTAGAATCAAGAAGTTAGAAAGGTTGAATAGAAAACCATATAGATGAATCCAACAAAAGCCCATGGTTATACACTGTTTTCAGAACTTTACGCGTCTTATAAGTCATGAAAGCTTACAGTATACAACATCCATGAATATGTACAACATAAGATACAAACAGCAGCTGCAACAAACCATTTTCATTTCATATAAGACACAATTTTTCCACAACAGAGTCACCAGATAATTTCTCATACAAGCGATAGATTAGAGTAGACTTCGACATTTGAGGCTCCCTCTCCAAAACAGCGATTATATCCTTTTGAGAAATATTTCGTGCAACTTTGGACTGCGATATGGCTGCTGGGCTCCTCCCAAATCTTCTACTACCCCCTGAAACTCAAACCTCCAAATTGTATACCTGGTCTATTCCATTTAAGAAAGGAAGATCACTGAATGCAAGTAAGAGTACATCATCCCCCCAACAGCAGCTCGGGCTGCAACATTTGCTGTTGTTGTTCTCATCTTGTCATCCTCTTCCTTGTTGGCCTGAATGCAAGTAAGAATACTGAAGACAGGAAAGGGAATATTTTTTTCCAATAAGCACAAGTTTACTTCACCTAATATTACCTTGTTGGCCTTTGATCGGCCATCATCCTTGTCCTTGTCTACATCTGACCCATTGCCATCAGACTGCAATTAAAGAAAAAAGTATTAGCTTGCAATGTATAGATCAGAAGACCTCAGGAAAGAAGTGTTAGATAAGTATCAGAAAGATTAGCAGTTTTGACTTAATAAACCTTAATAAACCTCAGGAGTCGTCCACGGGCGGCCGATGGAGGAGCGGCGGCGGAAGGAGGAGTCGGGACGGAGGAGGAGTCGGGCGCGGCGGTAGAGGAGCGGTGGCCGATGGAGGAGTCGGGGCGGGCAGGCAGCGGGCGGCGGAGGAGGAGTCGGTGGAGCGCGCGGTTGGAGGAAGGGAAGACGGGCGCAGGCCGATGGAGGATTCGGGGGCGGAGGAGGAGTCGGGGGCGGGCGGGCGGCAGAGGAGCGGCGGCCGATCGGAGGAGTGCGCGGCGGCGGCGGCTGGGCGGCGGGGGAGGAGGAGTCGGGCGCGGTGGAGGAAGCGAACGGGGCGGGGCGGAGGAGGAGTCGGGGAGGCGGCGAGAACGAGGAGGCGGGCGTCAAGCGGGCGGGCGGGCGGGAGGAGTGAGATTGAGAGCAGGGGAGGGAAGGGAGAGAAGAGCTTGAGATTGAGGGGATGGGGGGGGGGGGGGGGGGGCGTTGCCTGAGAAGGCGGTGATTTTGGGGGGAAAGAAAGAGTGAGGGGGCTGTAGCAGCATTATTAAGGCTGCAAAAGATGGGTAGCTTTTTTGGGCATAAATTTCCTTTCCTAAAGCCAATTTAGATGGGCAAAGTCAAAGCGGCTCACAAAGCTCCACCCTCACTACGGCAAGGAGATTGGGTATGGCTTGGTAGCGCAAGGGGCATAGCCCAATTTTCGCCTCTAATATTATATATATATATATACTAGAGAGAAAAATGGTATACTTGGTAACAAAGGCATCCTTGGTAGTGATGTGGACACAAGGTCTTGTGCCATAGGCATCAGGCAGCTTGAAGATGGTAGGGCCTCACGAAACTTCAAGGTGTTGATGTAATGCGAGCAAAGATGTGTCCAGCACAGGCTACCAAAGGATCGGCTTGGGCCGGCAAAGTAATAGCGCCATATTGCCTATATATTATAAATATATAATATATTATATATATATATATATATATATTATATATATAAGAGAGAGAGAGAGAGAGAGAGAGAAGCAACCGTGTAAACACGACATTTTTTTCCTACTACAATAATCCTGGTTTAACTTCTGTAGTTTTTTTTTAAATTTTTTGGATTGCTACAGTATCCCGCTTCTTCTACAGTATTCATGTGTGCTACAATAATACTTTTTCAAAAAATTGTGTCATGTTTCATGTTTGCTACAATAATAATGCAACAGTAAATGCTGCTGAAGCATTTACTGTAGTATGAATAGTGAATCTTAGGTTTTCCCATTTGTATAGAGGAGTATACACACACACTAACTAGTGTGCACCCCGTGCAGAGCACAACCCCTTTTTTTTATTTTTGCTGCAATAATTCCTTTTTTAATGCTACAGTGTTTTTTTTGTAAAATGCTATAATGGTTTTTAAAATAGTATTCTGTTTTGTGCTACAGTGATATTACTATAGTAATTCACTGTAGTATTTACTGTTGTATGAATAGTAAATCTTTGGATCTTCTTGTAGTATAAAGGAATAGATACTAAAGCAACTTTCATCGGTTGCAGGATTGACAAGTGACTGCTATTTTATCAATCATATCAATATTCATTAGTATCTACTCCTTTTCCCAAATATAATCTTCTCCTCCTTTTTTTTTCTTTCTTTCTTAATAACACATTAATAAATCGTCCTACTATTCCTTTTGAATTCCGGACATATTTGTCTTTTTAAACAATTTAGTATCACTCACAATACGCTGGCACAAAGAGTATTAATCTGGCCCAAGACAATTTCCACCAAACTTAAACGCGGACTTCAGATCCAAAAGCTAAACCGGGTCAAGTTCGGTTATCGGGTGGATTAAATGTAAATCCGTTACGGATCCTTAGGGGGTGTTTGGTTCAATTTCTAGAAATTATAGGAAATGTTTTCCACTTAAAATATGATTTCCTTGTATTTCTTTAAAAAATTATAGGAAAAGTTTTGAGAAATCAAAAAGTACTAATTTTCTTGTTTTTTGTACTTTGCTTGTTTGGTTCAAAACAAGAAAATGACTTATAACTTTATAGAAAATAACAAGATTTGGTAGGTTTTTAATTAAATATAGTATGTGTCAGATTTCTGGTGGTAGGTTTTTAATTAAATATAGTATGTGTCAGATTTCTGGTGATTTCCTCTCATTTTGAGAGGAAATTGTTTTTTGTAAAATTTGGTAGGTTTTTGAGAGGAAATTGTTTTTTGTAAAATTTGGTAGGTTTTGATATTTTATAGAAAATATTTCTGTAAAATTTTTGTTGAACCAAACACAATTTACAGAAATATCTGAAAAACTTTTAATTACAAATTTGCCATTGTCAGATGTTTTGAGAAAAGTTTTCTCAAAAAGTGTGCAACCAAACAGCCCCTTAGAGTCGAAGCGGCTTCATCCCCGCCCGTAAATATCCATACGGTTAAACTGAATCGACGGCTGAGAATCGACCTGCCAACAATACAAAATTTATAAGCCAAGCGGCCCCTTCCAACCCGTAAAAATCTGACGGTGCAGAAACCACACGGGTCAACTAAATCGACGACCGAGAATCCTTCTGCCAACAATACAAATTTTACATTCCTAGTATAATGCATGTGCTTTGCACGTGAATGTACATGTTTTTAAATTTTGATTTTTTTATTAAATAGTAAAACTATGTGTTAATAAATAAAACTGTATAATAAGATTTCTCCCTTTGTGAAAAATTTGAAAATAGTACATAAAATAGCAGAAAAAACACTTAATTAATATATGTAACAACAAAAATTGTGACTACACGTGAGAAAGTCACATAATTAAAACATTTTATGATAGTATAGTGCACATGATTTGCACGAGAGCGTACTTATTTTATTTTATGTTTTTTATTTTTTTGTTGGTTGCAAAATAATTAAATGACTTGCATAGTAATATAAATTATGAATAATTATAAATTTGTTTAAGTGAATAAATTATACAATAAAACTATATATAAAAACTGTATGATTAATTATTATCGTTTGGATAATTATTATTTATTCATAATTTATTAAAATAATTATCATATATTAAATAAACTATGTATAAAGAACTGTATGATTAATCATTATAGTTTAGATAGTTGTTATAATTTATTCATAATTTATTAAAAAATGATCATATATTAAATAATTTCTTTCCTTTTAAATATAATAATATTATACATAGCATACTTATACTTATAGTACTATTAGTAACTATATTTTAATTTAATAATTAATTTATTATACTATTAGTAAATAATTTACTAAATTGTTTAATTATTAAATTATAATATAATTTATTAATTTAAAAAACACTATTAATATCATTATATTGTTAATACTATTGCAATCATAATAAATATAGATTATTTTTCATACTATTATCATATTTTTAAAAGGCTAGTAAGATAAAAGGTAACAGATAGTAAATTTTTCTTATTCTTAATTTTTTACATAAGAGATGAAATTCTAAGGCACAAAAACATAAGCCTAATGAATTTTTCTTATTCTTAATTTTTTTAAAATTTTAAATATTATGTGAAGATAAATTAGGGATAAATTTTAAATTTTCTGACATACTTAAATAATATAAATTAATAGTGTGAGCAATGGTTAAAAAAAGTTAGGAAATGTATATAATTAATAAAAGGTGATATATAATTAGTGAATGATTAATTATAACTAGTGGTTTTAAGAATTATCAAACCTAAAATAATAAAAATAGAAATTAAAATTTTTGACAAGTCAATCCTTTTCTTTTTTATATATAGTATAAATATAGATTTATTTATTTGTTTGTTTTTACACTCTCCTCGTCTCTCAATCGTCAAATTCCTCAAAACTTTATTAAATAGAAATCGAGAATAAAAACGAAGCTTAAATAAAACGAGAGAGAGAGTGTAATCGAAGCGAAGAGGGTAGAGCAACGAGACATCAGATCCCGCGCTCTCGAACTCAGATCTGATTCCAGATCCCCCAAAGGTCAGATCTTGGATCCAATTCAAGCCCTAACCCTAACCTCTCTCTCTCTCGATCTCTACTCAGTTTCATCGGTTTTGTTTCAGATTTAGGGTTTGATAGAAGGAGGGGGAGGAGATGCTGACGAAATTCGAGACGAAGAGCAACCGAGTGAAAGGGCTGAGCTTTCACAGTAAGCGGCCATGGATCCTCGCAAGTCTCCACAGTGGCGTGATCCAGCTGTGGGATTATCGCATGGGAACTCTGATCGATCGGTTCGATGAGCACGATGGCCCCGTTCGCGGCGTCCATTTTCATAAATCTCAACCTCTCTTCGTCTCTGGAGGTTATACATTTGATTCGTTTACTTAATTGTTGTCTAATTGTTTTAGGTCTTGATTTATAATGCGTAGACCTAGCAAATTATCTGTTTAGTTTGAAGAATTTGATGAATGTTGGTTTCTGATCTCTGTGCCTTCAGATTCTAGAAAAATATTCAGTGGCTTGATCAGTTGGAAATTTGTGTTGTTGTGATACTGTAAAGATCCAACTTTGCGTGAAACTGTTAAAACATTTAACTAGATTTGGAGTGTAGTGTCATGACCGGATCTAGTTACTGCCTTATTCTTGGTTGTTGACTCTGCATTTAGATGTCTGTACTTTGTACATTCACACGACTGCCTTTTATGGGAAAGTTAATCTAAAAGTAGTCATCTTTTGGGGGGATATGCCACTGCTACAAATCTTGGGAAGGATAGATGCCAGTTACCCTTTTAATTTTCTACATTAATTTTTAAAATTTAAACACTCAAGAGGATCCAGTTAATATATAATGACTATTAGATGAGGTGCATCATAAAGTTTGGAAGTCATATATTTACTCAGAAGTTGGCATTTACTATAGCTCCAACATGATGTGTCATAGGGTGTTTCAGATCAATATGAAAATGTCTGAAAATGCTATTGCTTTGTTTTCTAAAGGGCATCCAGAATTGGAATGACCCATGATCGATTTGTATGCCTATGCCCCCTTGATCTCCTTAATGACAATAAAACTACCTTCTTTTACAGGTGATGACTACAAGATTAAGGTGTGGAATTACAAAACACATAGGTGCCTATTTACCCTTCTCGGGCACCTTGATTATATCCGTACAGTCCAGTTCCATGATGAGTACCCTTGGATTGTTAGTGCTAGTGATGACCAGACAATAAGAATTTGGAACTGGCAATCTCGCACTTGTATTTCAGTGCTGACAGGGCATAATCATTACGTCATGTGTGCATCTTTCCACCCTAAGGAGGACCTTGTTGTTTCAGCTTCACTGGATCAGACTGTTCGTGTTTGGGATATTGGGGCATTGAGAAAGAAAACCGTCTCTCCTGCAGATGATATCTTGCGTCTGAGCCAGATGAATACAGACTTATTTGGTGGAGTTGATGCTGTTGTGAAGTATGTCCTTGAAGGTCATGACCGAGGAGTTAACTGGGCATCTTTCCATCCCAGTCTTCCTCTTATTGTTTCTGGGGCAGATGATCGACAAGTGAAGCTATGGCGGATGAATGGTATTCTCAAAACATGCATTTTATTTGCTTGATTATGATGGGTAATAGTGTTCACTTGATTATATATTCCTTTGGTTTACTTGACTAAATCCCAGTGACAATTTACTTGCAGCTTAAAAGTCTTCGAATTTGACGTTCTTGGGTCGCCCGCATTCATGCATTTTTGGAAATAAGTTATATTTGGAATTATGAACCTTTCAAATGTGTTTAGTCATTCGCTAGTTCATTTTCATTTGAATCATTTCTATTTGCTTATTATTCTGTGCAACATTTGTAGATAGATTTTATCCTTATTTTTAATTTATTTGCCTCCCTTGTTAAAAGATACTGGTTACAATAGTCCTATTAGTCCTTTCATGCTTTTTCTTTCTCCTCCAGTCCCTCCTTCAAAAGATTGAGGTTGTAAGATTCTTTATGTAAATTATAATCTCTAGGACATTTCCTATACGTAATAGTGAAATATTTCTGATATGTAGTTACTCAATACTTATTTAGTTTTAGAATGGTCCCGTCATTATGTTCAAATTACCTGAACTTAGTAGTAAAGTCTCATCTGTGACGGCAAATACGAATAGAAATTCATTTTTCGTCATTCCTTCTATAAGGATTGGAGGGCCTGGATATATCCTTCAATCCAAATGCTACAGTCCCATTTGGTTGTTTTCTCCAATGCTTATTACTATTAATTTTTTTTTCCGTACTGTAGTCATACGATGGTCCGACAGGTTCCAGGTTATGATTTCGTAGATACAAGAAAAAAATCTGGGTTATTTAGGAATATTACTATGTTAGTACAGATATAGCTCAGAAAACAATATTGAAGAAGTGCATGTATCCTAATATTTTTGTATTTAATATGCATGTGTCTAGTTCAAGATTTTATGTGCATATGCATATGAAATCTTTCAGCCTTGTCATAACCAAAACTATTGTCATATTGGCGCTCTACCATTTTTATGCAGTTGCATTTTCTATGCGGTTTTCAAAACCTTTAAAACGGATGATGCTGACATCAGTTGTTGGACTTTTACCACATCTTCAGTGTCTTACTATATGTTGTCCTATCTAATTGCTCAATATGTGCACATTTGCTTGTATCGGTGTGCGCACACGTGCGTCCACGCTCACCCATTTTCAACTGTTAAAAGTCAAATACACATAAAGGTGATGTACTGATGTTATATTTTTTCTGTGCATTCTCATAGCTAGTAAACTTATCATGACATTGTATTTTTTGCGTCATGGGATGGTATATCTTGCATGTATGATGGTAAATGATTAATAGTTGCCACATGCATTTTATATCTTTCTGACATGGCATCCCGTTGTACATATACTACGGACATTAACTGATGAGGTAGGATCGGGCAGTTGGAAGGGAAGTTGAAAATGTTGGCTTAGAAGCTTGTTTCTTACTTTTATGATTCCTTTTTTACATAACTTACACAATATTCTAGTGATTTTATATTATGCTTCTATTTATTTTTACTAGCGTGCTCTCTTTTCAAGGAGATTAAAAATGTTGTAAGGCAATTTGTTCTGTTTGCAGATACAAAGGCTTGGGAAGTGGATACATTGAGAGGTCATATGAATAATGTTTCTTGTGTGATGTTTCATGCGAAGCAGGACATTATTGTGTCCAACTCTGAAGACAAAAGCATTCGAATATGGGATGCCACGAAGCGCACTGGAATTCAGACTTTCCGTCGTGAACATGACCGTTTCTGGATCCTTGCAGCCCATCCAGAAATGAATCTTCTTGCAGCTGGTCATGATAGTGGTATGATTGTTTTCAAACTAGAGAGAGAACGTCCTGCTTTCTCTGTAAGTGGCGATGTTCTTTATTATGTCAAAGATCGGTTCTTGCGGTTCTTCGAGTTTTCATCTCAAAAGGATAATCAAGTGGTTCCAATAAGAAGACCTGGTTCTGTAAGCTTGAATCAGTCACCCAGGACACTATCCTATAGTCCCACAGAGAATGCTGTATTGATTTGCTCTGATGCTGAGGGTGGATCATATGAACTCCATGTGATTCCCAGGGATACAAGTGGAAGAGGTGATTTCCTGCAGGATGCAAAGAAAGGATCAGGGGCTTCAGCTGTTTTTGTAGCTCGTAACAGGTTTGCAGTGCTTGACAGGAGCAGTAATCAAGTACTGGTAAAGAATCTCAAAAATGAGATTGTGAAGAAGAGTGCTCTCCCTATTGCTACTGATGCCATATTCTATGCTGGGACTGGAAACTTATTGTGCCGGGCTGAGGACAGGGTGGTCATCTTTGATCTGCAGCAGAGGATTGTTCTTGGAGAGCTTCAGACTCCTTCTGTGAAGTATGTAGTCTGGTCTGGTGACATGGAGAGTGTTGCTTTACTCAGCAAGCATGCTATAGTTATAGCTAACAAGAAACTCGTACATCGATGCACACTTCATGAGACCATTCGTGTGAAAAGTGGTGCATGGGATGAAAATGGTGTCTTCATCTATACAACTTTGAACCACATCAAGTATTGCCTCCCCAATGGTGACAGTGGAATTATTAGAACCCTTGATGTCCCAATATATCTCACCAAGGTCTCTGGGGGTACTCTCTTTTGCTTGGATCGTGATGGGAAGAATCGCATAATATCTATTGATGCTACCGAGTATATATTCAAGCTTGCCCTGCTAAGGAAGAGATATGACCATGTAATGAGTATGATTAGGAATTCACAGCTTTGTGGACAGGCAGTGATTGCTTATCTCCAACAAAAAGGCTTCCCTGAAGTTGCATTGCATTTTGTCAAAGATGAGAGAACCCGATTCAACCTAGCTCTTGAGAGTGGTAATATCCAGATTGCTGTAGCTTCTGCAAAGGAAATTGATGAGAAGGACCACTGGTACAGGTTAGGCATTGAGGCTCTTCGACAAGGAAATACTAGTATTGTGGAGTATGCCTACCAGAGAACCAAGAACTTTGAGAGGTTGTCTTTCCTATATCTTGTAACGGGGAACAAGGATAAGCTATCCAAAATGCTGAGGATCGCCGAGATGAAGAATGACATTATGGGTCAGTTCCACAATGCCATGTATCTTGGTGATGTCGAAGAACGTGTCAAGATTTTGGAGAACGCTGGTCATTTGCCTCTAGCCTATGTTACTGCTTCCACTCACGGGTTGACAGAAACTGCTGATAGGCTGGCTGCTGAGTTGGAGCAAAAAGGTATAGTTCCCTCCATTCCCGAAGGGAAAACACGCTCTCTTCTGATGCCTCCTGCACCCCTAATGTGCAGTGGGGATTGGCCGTTGTTGAGAGTCATGAGAGGGGTTTTTGAAGGAGGATTGGATACTGTAGGAAGGGGGGCAGGTCATGATGAGGATGAAGAAGAAGCTGTCGCTGATTGGGGTGATGAAGACTTGGATATTGTCGATGTCGATGTCGATGGTGTTAAACGAGATGGAGATGTGATCTCAGAAGTCGAGGACATCGAAGCACATGGAGAGAATGATGAAGGAGGATGGGATCTCGAAGATTTAGAGCTTCCACCTGATGTAGATATTCCACAGTCTGCCAATATTTCTCGTACTTCTGTATTTGTTGCTCCTACACCTGGAATGCCTGTTGGCCAAATTTGGATACAGAAGTCCTCTTTTGCTGCAGAGCATGTGGCTGCTGGAAACTTCGATACTGCAATGCGACTTCTTAACCGGCAATTAGGCATCAAAAATTTCGACCCCTTGAAATCTTTGTTTAAAGACATACACATGGGGAGTCACACTTATCTTGATGCTTTTCCTTCAGCCCCAAAGATATCCATTGCTGTTGAAAAAGGATGGAGTGAGTCTGCAAGTCCCAATGTGAGGGGACCACCTGCGCTCGTGTTCAAATTCTCGCAAATGGATGATATGCTTAAGGCAGCTTATCGAGCCACAACAGAGGGAAAATTTCCTGAGGCCTTGCGGCTGTTCCTTAGCATTTTACACACCATCCCTCTTATCGTGGTAGACTCTAGAAGAGAGGTTGATGAAGTCAAAGAGCTGATTGAAATTGCTAAAGAGTATGTTTTGGGCTTGAAAATTGAGGTCAAGAGGAAGGAAATCAAGGACAATGTCGTTCGACAACAGGAACTAGCAGCATACTTCACTAACTGCAAGCTTCAAAAGGTTCACACAAGGCTCGCGCTCATGAGTGCTATGACTGTATGCTATAGAGGAGGGAGCTACACTACAGCAGCCAATTTCGCTAGAATGCTTCTTGAGCACAACCCACCTGAGTCGCAAGCAGAAAAAGTGAGGAAAGTGTTAGCAGCTTGTGGCGATAAGAGAGACACTAGACAGTTGAACTATGATTTCAGGAATCCCTTTGTTGTTTGTGGATCATCTTTTGTTCCTATTTATCGAGGGCAGAAGGATATCTCATGCCCTTACTGTGGTGCTCGATTTGTGCCAGATATTGAAGGCCAAATATGCACAGTTTGTGAACTTGCAGTGGTAGGAGCTGATGCTTCTGGTTTGCTGTGCTCTCCTTCACAAAGGAGATAAGGTATGCATCATATAATCTGCTATTATATTCTTCGCGTTCCCTTTAGGTTAAGATATTCATGCTATATGTTGCCTGGAACATTACTTATTGTGTTTTAAGGTTAAACAATAAAAAGATAGGAAATGTTATTTTCAAGTATTATGTTCACTTCTTTGTGCCTGATGGGCACTTTTTCACATTTTAGGTTTTTGGCAAATTAAACGAGTGCTTCGGAGGAGGAGGTCCAGCTTTTAATTTGCTTTTGTTAAGATTAGGGATATATATATTTTTTCTTTTGTGGGAGTTGTATTGTATTAGTATGAACTATGAAGGATTATCATTCTGATGCATTATATATATTTTGCTGCATTTGTAATTTATTGTGACAAACACATAATTTTGTAGATGGGAGGTAATCATACTGTAAGGGCCCGTTGATCTAAACTGGGAAGATGCTGGTTAATCTGCTGGGGGTGCTTTCTTTGATTCTGAGTACATACTGCTCTTAATTTTATTGAATGGTAACACCTGTTACTGGATCTTGGATCACAAGGGAGATCTTTGAAGCTATGAACATAATTTGAAGTTTTTCTCGCCTCCATAAGTGTCACATGTCTTCCCTCTAAATCTCGAATCTCCCTTGCTTTCTTTCTTATTTTCTGTCTTTGAATGAACAGATTTTAGAGTATGTACAAGGTTTGCAGAGTTCTGTACTGTATTTCCTTATTATGTGATTCTGTTGCTGAGTTTTTTCATTATCCCTGGAATGTGACTCAGCATCGCATCCGGTCTAAAGAGTTGATGTTTTTTTTTTATTAAAATCCCCTCATCTTTTATATTTCTTGGCTTAATATTTTGAAATGCAGGTTTTGGATCTTAGTTGCACTTTTATGAATATAAGCATTCTTTAGATTTGATAGTGCTTTAACTGAACTTCGTGTACATCCGGATGCAAACAGCTGCAGATCTTCAACTTAACTACCGATTTCAACGCGCATCCATTTTTTCACACCCTTCGGTCTCAAGCTCACATAGTACAAAACTACAAGTCACTTAACATTCTTGAATTAGCAATTGAGTGACCACATGCCATCAAAAAAATAAAAAAAAATAACTAAAATAATCACCATTCCTTGCATCCTATCACAAGTTTGTTGGTTATGGCGTGTTCACTTGTGCAAAAGTAGGAAGTAGATCAAATAAGTAATTTGTAAAATTATGATATAGGCACTAGTGAAAGTAAAAAAATTATTTATTTATTTTGGTAAGTAGTGAAAATGGTATTTTCTTCCTCTTCATTCACTTTTACTAGGAAGAGTGAAAGAGGATCTTTGAGATTTTATTTAGGAATGAAGAATATCTACAAAACTAAATATGGCAAAAAATAATAGGTTATATAGCCCATGAAATAGTGGATTTTCATCTCCATGGAATTATTTGTCAATGGTTGAAATGAACAAAAATGGCCAAAAGTCGCGGGTTTTAGCTCATGAAATTGTGAATTTTATCCTTCTGAAAATTATTTGCTAATGTCCTGAAACTACGAAAAATGGCTAAAAAACGTGAGTTATAGCTCATAAAATTGTAAATTTTGGCATCTGCAAAATAATTTGCCAATAGATGGAATCGACTAAAAATGACAAAAAAACATGGAGTATAGCTCATGATATCGTGAACTTTGACCTACGCAAAATTATTTGCCAACGGGTCGAAATAACTAAAAAAGTCTAAAAATCATAAGTTATAGCTCATGTTATTGTGAATTTTTTTCTACTGTGAAATTATTTGTCAAAGAGTCAAAACGACTAAAACTGCGTAAAAATCATTGGATACAACCCACAAAAAATTGAATTTTGTCTCACGCGATAATTTTTCCCAATAGATCAAAATGACTAAAAATGTCCAAAAATTATGGGTTATAACTCACGAATTAGTGAATTTTAGTCACCACAGAATTAATTAGCAGTGTGTCAAAATAAACTATGGTAAAAAATCATGAGTTATAGAACAAGTAATCGAGAACTTTGCCCTCCGCAAAATTGTTTGCCAACAGCTCGAAATGACGAAAAGTGACAAAAATAATGAGTTATGTAGCACACAAAATTGTGGATTTTACCAATGGGTCAAAATGACAAAAAATAGCAAAAAACCATGGTTTATAACTTATGAAATTATGAATTTGGCCCCTATAAAATTATTTGTCAATGGGTTAAAATGACTAAAAAGGCAAAAAATCATTGGTTATAGCTTACAAAATTGTGAATCTTGGTTATTGCAAAATTATTTACCGATGAGTTAAAATGACTAAAAATGGCTAAAAATAATTGCATATAGCCGATGAAATCCGTGAAATTATTTACCAATGGGTCGTAATGACTAAAAATGGTCAAAAATAACTGGTTATAAGTCATGAAATTGTGACTTTTGGCCTAAGATAAATTATTTGCCAAGACATCAAAAAGACTGAAAATGACCAAAATCCTGGGTTATAGCTCATGAATTCTTGAATTTTGGCATGCATGCAATTATTTGCCAATGGGTCGAAACGACTAAAAAAGACCAAAAAATATGGGTTATATAGCTTACAAAATCGTTACTTTTAGCTATTGCGAAATTATTTGTCAACGAGTGAAAATGATTAAAAATGGCTTAAAATCGAAGGATACATTTTGGCCATTGCAAACTTATTTTCAAAATATCTCCCAATAGGCCAAAATGACTAAACATAACAAAAAATCACTAGTTATAGCTCACGAAATCGTTAACTTTGTCCTCCCAAAATATATTTGCTAATGGGTTGAAACTTGAAATGACTAAAAAAATGGCTTAAAAACTTGTGTTATAGCTTACGAAATCAAGAATTTAGATCTATACAAAATTATCTACCAATGGGTTGAAACGAACAAAAATGGTGAAAAATCATGGGTAAATGACCAAATATCCTGTGTTATAGATCATGAAATCATGAATTTAGGCATCTTTAAAATTATTTGCCAACGGGCAGAAACTACTAAAACTAGCCAAAAAATATGGGCTATAGTGAAAGGCCCTTGGGGGGTGGGGGGTGAATAGGGTTATGAGACAATAAATGTGCAATTAAAAATGAGACAATGCAATACACCACAAAATAAAATGCTAAAACAAGATAAGAGAGATGAGTTAGGAAATAGTTAGCCAATTGTGACACGCGATAAGTTCACGAGGTTCGGTCCTCCGCCCTACGTCCCCGCTCCCCACTCTCAAGGAGAATTTCACTATCACAACCCGATTTGGAATCCAGAACTTCTACACAACGATCTCCTCTTGAGATCTCATAACCACACAGTAGATCTTCACAAGATCTTGTACTCCACTCGATACAAAGAACAGTAAGAAGCTCTCTTGCAGCAGCCCTATGGCAAGAAGAAGAGATTCCAATTGAAGCTTGGGATGTGGGATTTGCAAGTGTGAAAATAGATTGAGGGAATTTGAAAATTGAAGCTCTTTATAACACAAGAACACAAGCTCAATCAATTTCTCTTGCAAAGTTAGTTCATAATTAAATGTGGTAGTTGGGTATATATAGGTAATCCTAGGAAGAAGCCAAAAACCCTGGAAAAAGACAAAAAAAACCAGATCTCGAAAATCTAGAAGCTGGCATAAACTAGCCGTTACAGTACTGGCGGGCGAGAGCCACTGGCGGTCGACTGCAAGAAATAGCCGTTACAGCCAAAACTCTTTGGACTTTTTACGGTCGATTGCAGAACTAAGTCCGGTCGACCGCGAGAAGCTTCCTAGCTCCCAAACTCTCTGAACTTTTAACGGTCGATCGCAGAATCAAGTCCGGTCGACCGCGAACTGACACAAAACATACACAGAGTTTGAAACATGTTTTTGACTTTGGAAAATTATAAAAAATTATCAAACAACTTTCAAAAATTGTAAAACACTGAAAAATATTTTTAAACAAGAAAACAAACTTGTTTGACAAAGGATTTTGCAAAAAGGTCTTTATACTTGTGAAAACTCATTGTTTAGCAAAATTATCAAAATATGAGTTTTGAAAGTGTGTGTGTGTGTGTGTTATCCCAAGAGCTTCAAATGCAATCTATCAAACTAATTGCCTACATTAAGCACTAGAGAGAAATAAAAATGCAAATACCCTCACATATAAGTACATAGCTTGAGTCTTGATATTTGCTTGATTCTTGATGAAGCTTCTAATTTGATATTGTGCTCTTGATAGCTTTGTGTAGGGTGAATATTTGATTTCCCGAAAAAGGGAGTTTCGTTTGTATTTATAAGAAAGCTTATTACAAACTAATGATCAAATAGTTACAACAGAAGCAGAGGGAAGGCCCTCTTTGTTTTGTGTGGGGACTTTTAGGTGGCTACAGGATGCTTCGCTCGATGCTCGTGTCGAGTCTGCTTCCCTTGGACCGTTCGAATGAGGTTGCTGGAGAGCTTCAGTTCGCAGTAGAAGCTCAACTTGAGAGAGTTCGGGTCTGTTTAGTTCGCCGGCGATCGGAGCTCGGAACTAAGCAGTGGTGCTGCAATGCAAAAAGGTTGTGCAGAGAGCTTGGTCTCAACTCTTTTCTCTAAGTTTTGCGACCCCTCTTCCAGTGTGCCGGAAGGGGCTTTTAAATGGGAGAAGGACAACTTGACTCCTCATTGAATTGTGGGATGTGACCACATCTTCTTCAGAGGCGTCTAGCTGTTCCTCGAAACCATGAACGGTCATTCCAGGGAATGTGCTTTATGTCCTGTCACCTACGATGGGAAGGCCCATTCTTGTATGTGAGGCAACAAACGACTACTATCCGAGTGGATTTGACCAGCATTAATGGACCGCATTTATGAGTCCGCAGATCGATGAGGCGTCTGTCCGATCACCAGTACTGTGCGTGACCGCCCGGCGTGCTTTGAGCACGACGCTTTCTCCTTTCCGGTCAGGAGAGGCGGTGAAGTAGGTGTACAGTACTCGAGTGAGTCTAGCCAGCTTGCCGAGTGCCGGCGGACCCAGCTCCAGACTCAGACAGCCGAGGTGAGTCGCATTTATGAATGCTCAGGTTGACTCGACACCTGTCCAGCTCCTTCGCGCTGTGCGCACTGTGGGCGGCCGTTTTGACGGCCCTGGGGTACTGTGCTCTCTCTCCCTTTGGGTCGAGAGAGGTGGGAAGGCCCACCTCAGCACGTGGGGTAGTGGATACCCAGCTGTACTGACGGTTTTGGGGCTTGCTGGCGGATTCGACTCCGAACTCGGGCAGGCGAGTTGAGCGAAGAGCAAATTTCCGCCATCCTGATCGCTCCTGACTCATGCTGGCGAGTCGACCGTTAGGCGAACCTGGATTTGAGCACAGTCGACGTCTACGCGGTTTAGGTCCGTGTCAGAGAACTGGGCGTGCGAACTCTTCTCGTAGACAAATTCCCTGTAGACCCATAGAGGTATTTTTTACCGTCTACAAGACCCCCTTCAAAGTTTTCGGACCTAAACTGGCTTGCGTGTGGTCTGGAACACTTTGAATGAAGAAACTGTTGGCGAAGCAAGTGCCTTCGATTTCTCTTAGGATTTTTAGCAAACCCTCAGCTATCAACGGGTTTGATGTGCCTTTACCGATTACCGTTTGAATCGGGCTAGCCATACTATTCTCCTCAGTATGATGAGTTGTCGAACAGTTTCTCTTAGGCTTAATGCTAAGATTTCTGCTCTAACCCTTAGCCATCTGGGGCGTGGGTTTCAACCGTTTAAGCAAGGTCATTCTTTTGGCTTTGTTCGTAATTTTACCTTTAAGGGTGAATGCATCGTCAAGGCGAAATTAATTTTTGAGAGCCAATTTTCGCGCGACTCGTAGGGTTATG